TTTTCTTTGATGAAGGGATTGAAGAAGAGAAGGCGGGGAGGAAAGGAGTCATGGAGCTAATCAAGGCTACTACAATACAAACAGGCTAGACAGGGTACTCCAGACATGATGGGCGCGTAGGTGCATAGCTTCAAGGTGATGGACATGGGTAGATCGATCGAACCGTACCGTCGGGCAGCGATAACGAAGAAGATAAAGGGGTAAGTAAGATAAGGCGGCAGGGATATTAAGTTATGTTTAGAAGATGACGGGATAGAAGAAGAAGTAGAAGAAGAACAGATGTTGTACAACAAGGAGAAGAAGGCAGGGAGTAAAAACGAGTAAATAAAATAGACTGACAAAATTAAGACCGCCGAGTGTATCTGGTTCATGTATCTGCATCACGGGTAGATAGAATGGAAGAAAGAAAGAAAGGGAAAAAGAGAAATAGGATTGATTATACGGGCAACTCCTCGCCGAGCTGTAGTGCTAGGCCGGCCGCATTAGAAGACGACTGAGTGGCGGTAGCAGCAGCACCTGAAGAAGCACCGGAGGAGACACCACCATAACGCTTCGACGAGCCTCTGACGGGACTGGGAGGCGCTAGGGCGTCAAAGTTGAGTCTCTTGCGAACCTCCTTTGTGGTGCGCGGTGTGCGAGGGGTGCGTCCTGAGGAAGCGGTTGCGTTGAGAGGGGTGCGTGAGGAAGTGCCGCCGTTTGAATTCGACCATCCTCGCTGGGCCGGGCTGGGAGTGACGTTGACGAAGTCTGCAAAGTTGAAGGGCTGGGAGGGCGTGGGCGTGGAGAGCAGCTGGTAAGGGATGGCGTGTTGGGTGGGAGGGGTCGAGGGGAGGAAGTCTGCGTGTGTGTTTGCGTGGGAAGCGGCTGTGGAGGTGGCGGGTTTGCCGTTGATGGTTGCTGGGGTGGGTGAGTTGGCCAGGTAGAGGAGTAGATCTGCGCCGGAGCCCGAGCCTGCTGCGTCTTCCTCTGTGCGGTTGGTGCTGGAGAAGCGGGTTCGGCGAGGAGGTGGTGTGCATGGTTGCTGTTGCTCTTGTTGCTGGTGGTGGTGGTGTCTGTTTGATAGCTGCGGGTCAATGTCGGCATTGCTGTCGAGGTGCCTGTCGATGTCCGGGTCGGGAATGGTATCTGACTCCGAGACAAAGGAGGGCATGGTCTGGTACGTCCTTCGCTGCTGCTGTCGTCTGGTCAGGGGTGAGGACTGCGGCGCAGCTGAGGCAGTGTTGAACGACAGTCGGGGCATCTTGGACAGGGTCTGATGTCTTGTCTCTGCCTCTGCCTCTGCTGCTGCTGCTACCGCTACCGTCATGGCCGGATCACAGCGCCGTCTCTTGCGAGCACTGCCGCCAGAAGTCATGCACTGCATCGCCTTGATGTCGAAGGTGGCCGCATGTCGACTGCGGGAGGACCGGGGCAGCTCCTTGCTCAGCACGGGAGTGCGTACGGGCGAAGAGGTAAAGGGAGTAGAGTACCGGACGTCCACGGATTCTGAGGAGGAGCAGTCCGACCCTGTCTCGCTCGGGTAGACATTGTGCTGGCTCTGGGGGCGGCTGTCAGAGTCTGGCGGCAGGGAGTCTCTGTCTCTGTGGACGCCGTGTAGACGCTCATAGCGAACTTTGGCGAGCCCCAGACGATCCTGGAGGTTGAGAGAGACCTACAACCCCGTACGCCAGTTAGAACCATGTCTTTATCAAAAGGTAGAATAAACAAATAAACAAATAAAAATAAGGTAAAAGGGGGTAGGCTTTACCTGGGCGATGTCTATCTTGTGGATGGCCTTCTTTGCAGAGGCCGTGGGCGAGGTGATTGACATCCTCCAGCCAGCTTCTTCAGGCCTCGACTGTCCTCCCAGCTCGTGCAAGCCCCTATCGACGAAGCTGCCCTCGTCTGCCTGTCACTCCGTCTGCCTGCCTGTATCCTTCGGCTGTCTGGCTATCCGTCGTCTGGCCGTCTTCTGTGTGTCTTGCGGTGGCTGCAGCAGGGTTTTTCCCGCCCACGACGTCTCGACCAGGAGGAGGAGGCTGAACACTAGAGGCTATGGAGAGACTATCGAGGCATCCGAGTCAGGCCAGCGAGTCACTGTAAGCTGAATTGACACACTCCGTCCCTGCTGTCCCTGCTGTCCTTGCTGTCTTGCTGTCGTGGTCGTCGCTGGTGGAGTCGTTGCTGGTTTGGCTGCTTGTTGGTGGTGGAAGAAAAGGAAGAAGAAAAGAAGCAGAAAAAGCCTGGACTTTAGCTTGCACCAACCACTTTGGCCAAACAACAACAAACCAGCCACAGAGAATGATAATAATAAGATGAAGAAGATGGAGATAAAGACGGAGCTGCAGGGACAAGGCTGGCTCTTTGTTTACTCTATCTACTTCTACATCTACTTCTATGCTCAATTGACTTCCACTCTACCGCCGTCCACCGTCCGCTATCCGTCTCTATCGACCATCGCCACTGTATATATTGCTCTGACAAGCCCTGAAGGCCCTGACTGCGTAATGCTGGCCTGAGTCTTCCGCATCTTCCTGCATCTTCCTGACTGATTGGCCCAGCGCTGTCTCTCGTTGCCTCTGCCGGGCCCCGTTTTATGGAGCTTTTTTCCTTCTTTGCCTATGAGAGGCTGATTGCTTTTTAAAGAGGAGGAAAAAGACCAAGAGTGAAACAGGGATCGCCAGTTTTACTTTTGTGCCTTTTGAAGAGACTTTTTGTTAGTTAAGGCTTTAGCTGTGGCTTTAACTGGCCTTGGGTAAAAGCCTTAACTGAAGCCCTAAGCCTTAGCCGCCCTTTAACTAAGCCTTTAACTACGTCTTTAACTGTGACTCTAGCCTGCCTTTAACTAAGGCCTTAACTGGGATGCTGCCATCTTTTTCCCTCTCTGCTTCCTACTATTCCTCCAGCAAGTAAGCTCCCTGTAACCAAATAAACTGGATCTCCAGCCAGTAAGATAAGCAACTTTACTGAAGGTAAAAGGAAAGCTGCTCTGCCTGGCTTCCTCTGGCTTCCCTCTGGCTTCTCTTGCTGTTACTGTTGCTGCTGCTGCTTCTTGCCTGCCTGCCGCCACCCACCGGGCAAAGCAAGCATGTTCCAGCACTTCCCCCCCTTTGCTGTCTCCATCTCTCCCCCTATCCCTCTCCCTATCATCTCTGGTCTCCATCTTTGTGTCTCTGGTCTCTGTTTCTTGTCTCTGGTGCAGGAAAAAGTCCAGATGGTTGAGTCTGCCAGTGCTTGCTTAGTCGCCGCAGGCCAGTGAAGAAGACATCACCAGCCGCAGACACCAACAACAACATTATATATATAAACGATATATTAACAGATATAGAAGAAGAAGAAGAAGAAGACAGCGTCAACTGTCGCACTGCAGGGCATCACACAAAAGAGGGAAGACCCTCTTCTTCTTCTTTTCTTTTTGCCTGGCTTCCTCTGCTTCTTCACCAGCTTCACCAGCTTCCTTCTCCTTCCCTCTTCTTCACGTCTACCGCAAGCTCCTGGCGAAGGCAAAGCCGCAGTCGAGTCGAATCGAGCCGCAGCCGGTCGAAGTCGAAGCCCAAGTCGAAGTCGAAGTCGATATCACGGTCCAGCAGACAGGGCAAGCCATAGATAGCATCGCGAGATGGCGTCCGGCGAGAAGAAGAGCTCCGGCATGGGCTTCTTCAAGGAGCTTCGCCGTCGCTCCAAGGCAGGGTTTCACTCGTCCAAGCCGGCACCGCGAGCGGCCGCAGCCAAAGCTTCTCCGTGTCCCTCGCTCCCTACCAGCAGCGCCGGCGAGTCTATCGTCAATGGCTGCGGCGGCGTCGATAACGCGGGCGTCGGGGCCAACGTCAACGGCCACCAGCTGAACGGCCAGCTTCACGTTAATGGTAATGGTCATGCCAATGGTAATTGCAATGGCAACGGTAACGGCATCTCGAAGACATCGACCGCAGAGTCGTCTGCCCACAGCAGCAGCGGCAACACGCCGCCGCCCTCCATCAAGCCGGCGATGCTCTCCTCCAGCCACCTGCCCTACCTCTCCAAGTCCGAGGGATGGCTGCCGCCGCCGCCGCAGCGAACGGTGCCTATCTCCTCCCAGTCGTGTCGAAATAGCATGCTCGTAAGTCTCTTCTTCCCCTTCTTCTCCTTCTTCTTCTCTGTTGTGCCGTTGATACTGTTGCCGCTGCTGTTGCTGTGTTGTGGTTATAGTGCTGTGGACTGACGACGATGTCTATCTATGCAGGGCGTCCATCCGAGTGCGTCGACCTCGACTAGGAACTTCACCCACAACTCGCCGCTCGCTCCTAGAGTCCTCTCCATCTCTGATAACTCCTGGGTAAGTAGAAGAAGACGATGACGATGACGAAGAAGAATAGAATAAGCAAAGAAAAAGGAAGCGTCCAGGCTAACGACCGCTTAGGTGAACCAAAAGCTACTCCTACTATACGGTAGAATAGGCGACAGAGACCCCCAAAAGTCCCCCCTCGACGGCAACATCACCATCCACCACCTCCAGGACGCCTCCTTTCCGTCCATCTCGTGGCCGGTGCGCGCCTCTTGCTTCAAGGCCCTCGTCCATCTCGTCCCGGGGCCAAACCGCATCCGCCTCGAGTACGTCTCTCCCAAGACCGCGCCCACCGCCGCGCCGCATACCTCCTGGATCAATATCAACTACCTCCCGCTCGCCAACTCGCCGCCGCTGCAGCTGGCCATCCTGCTCGGCAGTGACTCGCAGGCACAGTACGACTCGGCTCCTAACAAGGGCGCCAACGACCTCGACAATGCCGTCCGCAAGTTCAGGATGGCTGCCTACCTCTGGCAGGCTTTTACCGGAGAGCAGATGTACAGAAACAACTTTGGTCGCAGATGCTTCCATTTCGAGGAAGAGTGGCAGACGGGCAGCCTGAGCGGTCGAGACACCGAGAACGGCATCATGAGAAGCGAGGCAAAGGTCCATATCATCCGCTGTGACAAGACGGTCGACCAGCTACGGGCTCTCAGCACCGCAACCACCACCGAAGACGGCCTCTTCAAGGTCGCCATGGACGCCGTACGCAAGTACTTTGACCTCCGTCCCGGTGAGCAGCGCTATGTCAGTGCCCTCTTGCTTGACACCCACTGGGACAACGATACCAAGTCCCTGACGGCTCACGCCGCCCTCGGCTCGTCTCAGCCGGCAGACCTCAAGCTTGCCCTCTTCGGCTCTCACGGTCTGCACAGCTACCCTTCCTGTCTACAGGAGATCGTCCCTTGCTTCTCGGACTGTGCTCGTACGGACACTGCCTATGTTGCCAACCACAACAACGAGTGCGGCAGCAACTGGGAGACCGCCAGCTCCTCGCTCGGCCGCCATCTGCACGAGGTCGGCCGTCTCTTTGGCTGCAACGACTCTGACTCAGGCATCATGGGCCCGGACTACCTGCGTTTCAACCGCACCTTCATGACCTGGGAGCCTTATTCAACTCGCACCAAGGAACAAGGTGCCCGTCTGCTCCTCCAGCAGGACGAATGCCGCTGGAACCGCCTCGAAGCTCTCAGATTCCGTTTCCATCCTTGTTTCAAGCTGCCCACTGATCCCGGCTGTCCCTCGTCAGACATCATCCAGCTCTGGTCCGTCGACGGTGATAAGATACTCGCTACCTCCAGTGCTGGCATCGCCTTCATCGAGATCTTCACCTCTCCACAAGGAGACATCCCTACCTCGTTCATCGAGTACGTCGATTCCAGCGCAGGCAATAGCGGTGTACCAAAGGAAGCCAGCTTTACTGAAGCTGAAATACGCGCTCAGCTGCCTGACAGCGCACGCAAGTCCAAAATCATCCGCCTACGCATCTACTCTGGCTGTCTCTCGGTCTTCACTGTCGCCGACCTCTCTGTCCTCACAGCCAACAAGGGCAAGGAGTGGTGCGTCAAGATACCCACCGTGACTGGCAGTGAACAGACAAATTACCTTCCATATCAGCTCCCAGGCTGCCTACCAGGCTGCCTACCAGGCGAGAAGCATGAGGTCTCCTTTGAGACGAACAAGCCAGTAACCGCACTCAGAGTGTACGCGGAGGAGAAGCAAGGCTTAGACGTTGGAGCGCCGCTTAAGAGCACAATTGCAGGCATTGAATTCCGTTATGAAGACGGAAGCAGCCAGCTCTTTGGATCCAAGGGCCAGGGGATGATTGATGATGAATACACAATCGGTGAGTCCTTTCTCATTATTTCTCTCTACGATCCATCTACTAACTACTTTAGAATCACGACGAGGTGAAATGATGATGGGCTTCCATCTCCGCGCGGACAAGGACGGCGTACATGGCATTGGCATTCTTACTAGTTTCGGTAGACGGTCCGGCATTTATGGGTGTTCAAAGGCAACTCAGGGGTATGTGCATCCATCTACGCTGGTCCTCATCACCATGCTATATATTATTTATCATATATACTAACATATCCCCGTCTGTTGCAGTGGCACTTTGGTTACCCCCAAGGGTTTCAGAATTACTGGAGTTACGGGAACCATAGGCACAGGCATGCATGCCGGCATCATGGGATTTTCTCTTATAATTGCTCGATAGACGGAAAATATTACATACATGGGTCTTCTTCTAGATCACCAACAACAACAACAACCTAACTGTACATACCATGGATCCAATGGCACGCTAAGAAAGCTTCCATGCTACGCTATGGCTACACTACGCTGCGCCGCGTTGACCATCGAATCCATGGATCGGAGCAGCACTACCCTTGCATATTTGATTTGATTTGATTTCATTACTTTTTCATTTTTCACTGGCACCCGCTCTCAGGCCCAGAAGCAGGCTAACCAGCCTACTTTCATTCCCCCCTCACCCCCCTTTCCCTTTTTTCCCCCCATTCCTTACTCCCCATCCATCTGCATCCGGAAGTACAGGCACGTCCTCCCTCCTTGTCCTCCGCCCTTGCCCTCGAGGCTCGTGCACCATATCAAAGATGCACTGCCGATGGGAGGCTCAGCTCCCGGCGGACGACAAGCAACCAAACGTCGAGAGTTGAGCTATTTTTCTTTCTTTTTTTCTTTTCTCTCTTGCTTCCCTTTGTTTCCTTTCTTACTACTTACTTTTCACTTTCATTCGACGTTCAATGTGGCGGGGGTTACATCAATTACATCTTTACACCGATCCATCTATCTCGATCACCGATATCAAACCGCGGGTTGACATCATGACCCCGATTCATTTCCTCCCCTCGCTACGCTGCGTTCATCCTTCTCCACGCTTAATTCCCCGACACCTACCTCGCCGGCTTCTCCGGTTCTTTCCAACCCCAGTGCATAAGCATGAGCATGAGCCTGGCTCGGCTAGTCTTCGTTCCCCCGACCCTCTTTTTTTCATCCCTGAAACTTCACATCCGCCTTCCAACAGTCCGCTTTAATTCATACATACCAGCAGGAACGAGCCAGACAGCATTACAAAATTCAAAAACTTCAAAATTTCAAAAATTAAAACGGGATCTATCTACTAGCGAGGAATACCAGGGAAATGGCAGGCATATGGAAATCGGACGTCATAGCTAATCGATCGATCGGTCTTGTTCTTTCTTCTTCTCTCTACTTCTCTTCTGTTTACACGATATGGGAGCATGTGGTTTGCCTTGTCTTGCCTTGTCTTTTTTACTTTACCTTACCTACGAACCTTACACACTGTTTTACTTACCCTCTGCTTTGCTCTCTGCGCTGCCTCTACCTTCCTAGTGACATACTTACTTACACCCCTGGTCGGTAGCAAATACTATGATCAAATGACTTTAGTATTATCTTCTTCTCCCATATACGGTCCTTCCTTTACCTGCCTCACCTCATTCCTCTGCACCTGTCTGTGCCTGTCTGTCTGTCGACATGTCTGTCTACCACGCCAGATGTTGACTTGACTTGATTGACTTTGGCTTGATCACCCGAATCGGTGTTTGATCTATCCCACAGCATCAGCGTTGTGATATCACTCCCATCAGCAGAAGCAAATAAAAAGGGGTGGGAGGGGGGGAAGAATTGTATGTATCCAGAAGAATTTCTCCCACGTAACTATACGTAACTATGTGATCAGCGGACTTTATTTAACCATGGTACGCTCTCTCTTCACAGGCACCGACCAAACCCTTACCGAACGAACCGCAAAGGGCAAGTATGTACCTTCTCACCTCCCTACTCCAGAATTGAGCCAGTCAGTCAGTGAGTTAGCCAGGAAGGCACAAAGGCAGTGAAAGTATTTTGCGAGTACGAGCGCTACTTTTGCCCCTTTTGAGGCTCCGTGCGAATTCTCCAGCCAGCCATCGACGGTACTTTGCCCTCACTACCTGTCCTTCTAGTTATTTGTTCTTCTCGTTCCCTTTCCTTTTTCTTTCGTGTTTGTCGGTTAACTACCGATCGCGCTAACTATGAGGTACTGGCTGGTACTTGTGCGGTTTTCAGTTACCCACTCACCTAGAACAAGGGCCAGAGTGATGGCTGATGCCCTGTTCTGTCCCTGGTCATGGCTCTGGAACTGGAGTTGGAGTTGGAGCTGGAGCTGGTATTGGAGCCGAGTCCCTCTGGGTCGTTTGCCCGCTGGACTGAGATCGAACGAGATCGGCCTGCTTTTTATGATTTGGGTTTGGGGCTCGGGGTATTAACTAACTTATTGTTGTTTTTTTGGCCTTTCGGCTCTTTAGTTATTGTCTTTGAAAAAAATGCCGGTTGGCTGGGTGGGTGTACAGACGTCGATAGAGGATGGAGGTGGTTTCATGGCCGTACCATCTGCTTCCAACTCCAACAAGTCAACAATCTAATCGATACCAGTAACTAGCTAACTGACTGACTAGTTAGTTATCAGCATCACTCACTCCCACTCCTCGCTCTCACATGCACTGCTTGTCAGGTGGTGGCACGGCTCGCACCGCCCAATTGCCTGCGCCACAGGTCACTCGACACTAGATGCTATTTATTAGGGGCGATCTGTTCCTCCCTCTGCTCGCTTGGCTGCTTGCTTGTTGATAGATGAGAGGGCACTGATTTGCGGATGGGCGTGTGGGGGGGAGAAGTTGCCCAAGGGAGATCGGGGATCGAGAGTGCATCATGCAGCCTACATGCAGGACCAAGTGCCTCGGATGCTGTGTTCCCTGCTCAAGGGTGCAGTCTACACAGGACGCATTCTGCAGGCCTCTCTTTCTGCTTGCTATTTAGCTAGTGAGTGAGCGAATTCGTTTAGTTGGGCTTGGATGCGTCTGGTACGCTACGTGGTTGTGGTCGTTGCTTATGCTGATATGCCATTCTGCATACTCCGTACCCCCTACATACAGACGGCACTTCCGAGCCACTGGTGAACATGTCATGCCCACCCACTGTTCGTGGGGTGAATAGCAAAAGTGAGGGAATAGAAAGTGCAGAAGAAGGCTCGAGCCTGAGTGGACGCATGGGAGTGGTCAAGCCCATCCTTTGACGCGGTTGTTGTTTCGGGTCAGATGGTGGTGCTTGATAGTCAGTTGGACCCTGCAGATGGCCCTGAGTCAGGTAATACCCCCTCTCATCTGCCGGTTGGACAGACAGACAGGCAAGGCTACCACAGCAGTAAGAGAGATGGCCTGTCCTTATCGAAAGCCCCGAATTGGGCTTCCACTGTTTCTTTTGCGTTATTCCTTTTATATTTCCCTTTTTTGTGTTTCTTTCCGTCCGTCGGCTGTAAACTCTAGAGTCTTGTTTTAACGTCAGAAAACAACCTTCCGGGAAGGATACCTAGAGTGTTTCTCGATAAACAGAGAAGGAAAAAGGGAAAAAAATAAGGAAAAAGCAGTTGTTGCTACGGATACCCGCATTCTTTCTCTTTTCTTTTCTTTCCTGTTTCTCCATATTCGCCCTCCAAAGTTCCAGGAATCCGTATGAGCGTTGGAACCAGATCCCATAATTTAGGTACCGGCGACGGGAATGGTGCTTCGATGGCAGCGACAGAGCCAGTTCCCTGGACACAGCTCCCCATAGTATACCCATATCCCCACAGAAAAGTGTTTCTTTTTCTTTCTTTGTTGTATTTTCAATTCTTCAGAGCTGAAACCCCCAATTATTCCTGCTCCTTCTTCTTTACCCCCCCCCCCCCCCCCCCCCTCCCCTCCCCCAAATCCCGGGCGGGTGGGCCATATCCGCTCGACTTGCAGCTCTCCCGGAGACTGAGCAGACGAAATTGCAATTCGATCGGAGTCGGGTCAGGGAATTTAGTTAGCAAATGGGCAGGGACTCCATATCAATTGATACGTAACCTTCTTCCGCTTTTTGAATTTGGGATCCATAGTATAGTTCCATCGATCTCGGAGTTTGAACGGAGAAGTGTCTTGCTCGTGCGGGCTAGGTGCAACCTCTACCCGGTCAACACTCTTAATTTTTTTGGGGCTGAATAGATATCCCTGTTCGTTGCTTGATTGTGGCAAGGGAGATGAAGGCTGCTTCTTACTGGTCGGGACGATCAACCGAGATACAATATATCCCCTTCTGCCTCTGCCACGTCTTTCTTTCCTTTTTATTCCCTCTTTGCTCTGTCCCCCTCTCCCTCTCTATCTTCCCGCCCTTCTCAAGGCCCAAAGACGGGTGGATAGGGAAATCAGGGCCCTGAAGAAAGCTGCTCGAGCAACTAGACCAGCCACACTTCTTCCCCACATCAACCTGAAGATGGAGATCATGTTTAGGGCATGGACACGGACATGCACGGCTATGTAAGCCAGACCCACGACGGGGGAAAAGGAACGAGCTAGGGAAGCTTTTATGGGGGTATCTTTGTGGAGAGAGTCCATGCAGGCAGGTATTTCACGGCAGAAAGAAAGACAGCAAGATAGAGAGATAGGCAGTAGATAGGGAGGCTGCAAGACAAACAACTAAAGGAGAAAAAGGAAATGCATCTTGATCGAAAGGTTTGGTACGTGGGTGGTACACCTCTTTTTTCTTGCTCTTTGCTTTTTGCTTTATCATCTTTTTTCCCTGTGATTACTTTTTTCTCCCTTTTTTTTCAATTTCCCTGACCTGATGCCCTGCCGTTTTAGGCAAATTGTCCCCTTTTGCTCTCGAACTGATGAATAATGCTCGCTCGCTTGCTTACGCCGTCCGTCTACGCTGATATGCCGCTTGTTGAGGGAAGACGGTCAGCGCTGACTAGGAAATGGTCTCGCCTGGTATGGAGCAATCTAGCTACTCTGTCCCAGTCCAGATTCCAGCATCCAGATGGACCTGGCAAGACCTAGGCTGGGCACGCACTTGACTGACTTCTCTGCCGTCTTTGCATTCCCGTGTGTCTGCTGTCTCTCTGTCTTTGCTTGCGTGTACCATGAGACATTGTCCGGCTAGGCTATAGAGTAGGGTATTGCAGACTGCATGGTTTTGTGTACTCCCCCATTATTTGTAATAATGTTATGCCTCTCCTTCCTGTCCTCGGCCTTGAGCTGCAGCTGAACTGCACCGAATTGGACTGCATATACTCCGTACCTCCTCCCTATGATTCCAAACACAAACAGCAAGAAGTCTAGAATCAAGAAGAGAAGTTAATAATAGATGGGTAAAGCCACATCCATGGACGCTCACACACGATGCGGCGGGAAGGTCACTGCCGTTCTGTCCTCGGCTCTTCATCCACGCACAGAAACACATCCACAGTCCACATCGATGGCTGGCCATGGGCGGTAGATCGGTGGAGGAGAAGCCACCCTTAGCAAACAATTATTTTTCTTTTTCTTCCCCTTCTTCTTCATCTTTTCTTTTCTTCTCCCTCCCTCTATCCTCTCTAGCTAGAGGGAGATCATCCGTCGCCCTGGTGAGATCTTGGAGGGACCCCGAGTTTGAAGCATAGGCGACTAAGTAGATAGACTGAGCCACAGGCTGTCTAACGAACTAGTTTAGTAGGCTCTCTCCCTGGACGTCCCTGCTAACCTGGCCCCCCGCCTCCCACTTAAGCGCTATGTCGGTGACCGCCCTCCCTGACTCAGCTTTGAAATAGACCAGCATCCGATCGGTGTGTATAGAGGTAAAGAGTCAGGCAGCAGATCATGGCCCACAAAACACGACTTCATGTGTGGCCAGGGCCACAGCAGCAGCAGTGGCTCAGTTAACAATGCGGCTGGAGCTATGGCTTGCAATTCTGGATAAATAAAAAGGCAAACTCGAGGCGTGAGCTGGTCGGCTGTCCCATCGATTCTGCTCGAAGTTGAACTTCCGCTTTGGACGATTTGATAGTAATAGCCTCTGAACAGCTATAATTGATATGCTCTCCCATATCAGCTTGTTAGCTGCTTATTTAGTTATCCAGCCGTTGATATACAAAACAAATAATAATAAAAGCCGCTCGAAAAGAAAGAGGAGGAGAAGAGCCTTTCCAGAGGTCTGTCTCATTCGGCTGAACGTCTTGAGCTCTCTTCCTCTCTTCTTCTCTGTGTCTCTGTGTCTCTGTCTCCCTGATTCAAGTGAAAGAGTCGAAGTGCCTCTTTCGGAGAGCCGGTAATCAACTAGATTGTTAACACTAGAGAAAAACGATAACTAAGAGACGGCGCCGCGAAATCCCCGAGAGATCGCAACGAAGCCAAAGCGAAACTCGCTTTTTACGAGCTTTTGATCGTTTCGCCACCGTTTCGGCGATGCCCGTCTTTCGGATAATTTTGTTTTGTTTTTCTTCTCCTTCTCCGTCTTCTTTTCTTTTTTGCTGCTTGGTTCGTTACTTAGCTCTATGGCTTGTCGATATCGAGGGATGGAAACGAAGGCACAAGTCTCGCTAGCCATGGGCTTCTTAAACACCAGCCATCCAGCAGTGTGAAAGTGCAAAAAGGAGAGAAACAGAACGAGAGCGAGAAAGAGAGAGAAGGAGGGCTAGGCGAAGAAAGAAGAAGAAAAGGAAAAGGCGAGATCGAAAATAGATGCGAATAATATAGTTAATAGAGGAGGAAGTTTTAAATCGGACTCGATGAGCTTTCTGCATCGTCAAATGGGCATGAAGGAGGCTGGTGCCATATCGTCTCCAGGCTTTGGCTTGCAAAAAAAGGGTGAGAGAGAGTGTGTGTAAAAAAAAGCAAAGTAGAGCAGAAAAGCAGAAAAGAGCGAGTGTGCATGGTGAAAGTAATAATCGAGAGAGATATAGGCAGGCAAGCAAGCCTTGAACATCGCCAGATCTACAGGTCGGTAGCTGTGTCGTTTTTATACTTCATGCTTCAGCCGGAGTTGTGGCCGGGCTAGATGTACCACTCGGCTATTCTCCAGCCTTCTGTAGGGGGTATGCTTGTTATCGACCGTTGGAGTAAGTCCTAGTTATAGTTATGGGTGAAATACTCCGATATATGGGACGTGAAGGGGGTGGCCTGAGGTGTTGAAATGGCTACCTGCCTACGGATATACGTCTCTCATGAAACAATCCTATAGTGTGTCAGTTAATAGCCAGCAAGTTAGTTATTTTGTCAATCCCAACGCACATGTCAGAACCAGGGCGTCGTGCGTTTTGGGTTTTTCTTCTTCCTCTTCTTCGTTTCTTTTCCTTCGCTTTGTCTTTGTTTATTATTATATCTGTCGGTCTTTTAATCTCCTTGCCTGCAACAAACGTCCCGGACAGAAGGCGGGGGAAGGGGGAAGAGGAATCAAGACGAAGATCCAGACGACCGAACGGGATGAAAGAATAGACGCGAGACCAATTGTTAACGTTCAGGAGGTCTCGAACTCGAAGATGTCAAGGGATCTCAGATAGACGGGGGTGAAGGTGTTCTCGACCGATCTGCCAACGGACAGCACACGGCTCAAGAGACGGCCTGGGTCGCGGTCAAAGCGAGATGGAGTGACTACTTGACTTGCATGGAACTACCATAGCCAGTTAGCTGCCTGTCGATATAAGAAAGGAAAACAAAATATAGGTGACAGGGGGAGGGAGGGAGGGGAGGGCTCGTGTTGAACCTCGCAGATAGCAAGCATATGTAGATGGGATGGGATGGAGAGAGTGGGATGGGATGTACAGCGTACCTGGTCTCTGGAACTCCCAACCGTGGGTTCAGATGTAGTTGACACCTGTAGGTGTAGGTACTTAACCGACTAGTTAGGCCCTTACTTCGTGCGCTCGCAGATAATTCGGGCTTGTAGAGAGGTATCTTAGTATGCGGCCTGTAAACTAAGCTCGTAGCTCGAGCTCACGCAGGACCGACTAGTTGAGTCCAGCCCAGTACCACATCTCTCGATCTCCCTCCCTCTCTTTCTTTTTCGCTGTGTTGTCTCTGTCTCTTGTCTCGAATCCAACATGTCGTGTAAGTATTTTAATGTAAGGGTTCAGTTGAGATTGCAACTTTCTTCATCCCATCGGGCATACTTGTGCGCGTCTTTTCTTTTCTTTTCTTTCGTTTCCTCTCTCTCACTCCCTCTCGCTCTCTCGCACTCTCTGTCTCTTTTCTTTTCTTTTCTCTCTTATTCCTGCTTTCTTTTTCCTCTCAGATTGATTTTCAGGGTCCAGGAGCGATTTTAGACTATGCTTAGCAGCCATGCGAAATCCATCCAAAGAAGCAAGCTGTGTAGTCCCGTAGTTAAGTGGATTCTGTTTGGCGGTGGATAATTCGTCTTCCAGGGGGTAAACAGAAAGAGATCGCGGGCCGTAGGTCGTTCACGGTAGTTCTTTTTCTCCGTCCTTCCCGCAATACATGGCAAGCTAGCTGGGTAGATGGTTATGGATGTATGTGTATGTATGTATGCAACTAGCTCCCCCGCAAAAGAGAGATGAAGAAGATCGACGTCTATATCCACGAGCCGGGGTTGGAAGAGGAGACGGAGAAGATGCTTCTGCGGCAAGAGAAAGACAGTCTGGATACTTCTTCTTCTTCAATCCTGGCTGGCTCTGGTCTTTAGTTTCGCCCTTCTTTGCTTTTGGGGCTTCCCGTGGTACACTGCATGGCTCGTCTCGGCCCTCGAGACTGCTATGAAGAAGAAACGCTTTGGTTAGCCTTTTCCTTTCGTGGCAGTCAATTAACTAACTACGGCGGGAACAACACTCAGGCCACTCTCTTATCTGTGGGCAAGATGGTAACAGCGTCTGTTCGATATTGATATTGATATTGATGAACTGGCAAGCCATCATGGCCTCTGGATGGAGCTCCATTGAATTGTGCAGGAGGAAAAAGAAGAATAATAACAAAGAAAAAAAAAATAAGAGAAAGAGCAGGAGGAGGAGCACAAGAAGCCCCAGACGGTTGATCCCGATCGATCTACTTCGTACTCCGTGCTTCGTTCTACCCTTGAAGGATGCGTGTTATAGCTGGAGCAGCTTCCGCGAGTCAGCTCACTGGCTAAACAAGTTACATAAGCCCATGGACTCACTGGGACAACCAAACAGCAAGCGAGTAATAGAAGCTATAGTGTCCGGATTATAGATCAGGGGGGACTTGGTCAATCGTAGAGAATCGAGTAATGAAGCCCGGAGCATGGGCTTTGCTCTCTCTCGCTCTCTCTGTACGGGCCTTCACCATTTCATCACCTGTCTCGAACACCCACATCCACGCACAGGAGCGACGAGGAGGAAGCCCGAGAGATAGAGAAAGAGAGAGAGGAAGGGGACGCTGCCAGTGGGGAGCTCATTACTACCCCGAGTCGCAGCATCATCTCCATCTCGATCCCGTCCGTCCTCAGCCAACCCATGACGAAACTATGGACACCGTAACCACGGCTAAGCAGACGAAATAAGTTATATAACCCCACCCAGCTGTTTTAACTTGCACGGGAGACAGGTGTGAAACCCACCCTGAACTCAGGCCAGTCAGTGGTTGATTAGCTAGCTAGCACTCGGGGCGAACCCCCAATCCCATAATTATCTGGTCGCTCAGTCTCTCTCGCATTGGCCCTTGGAAGCCTTTCTGGTGGAGCCGGCGTTTCTCTCCCGCGCGCTCGATGCGACCTGACGTCATGTTGGTCTCGCATCTCGTCTCTCAGTGGCTGGCAAGGGGTGTGGGTGGTGGAGGAAGAACTGCGAGGACAGGGGGGCCACTGGGGACTGACTGGGGGCCCGGGGAACGCTGGACTGGCTGGCCCAAAAGCCGTGCAGATAAGGTCTATACATACTCATATGGAAGTATATATGTGTAATGTCTAGAGGCTTCTGCACCAATGTGAGCTCTGGCTTCTGACTTCACTTACTTACATAAACGTCGAGCAGGGATACAGGGGGCTCATGGGTCAGGGATCAGGGATGGGGATGGTTAGGCTTTAGGGCTTTCGCTGAGAGTCAGTGATGCCGTGTGTCAGAGGGCTGAGAGAGTGACATGACACTCGGCAAGCAGGCAGGCAACAGGTCAGCTAACCTGATTAGCCCAGTTAATTCAGTCATAGATGCTCTTCTCTCTTTAGCTAGAAAAATCATGAGCACAAGCAGTGCTCCGTCGTATGATGATTATTATTATTATCATTTCACATATAGCTATATATAACGTATGCACGATCGGGAATAAGACAAGAAGGGTTCGGGATGGCAAAAAAGAAAAGACAAAAAAAAGAAAAGGAGAGAGAGCGAGAGAGAGAGGCCCTAGTCGTTCCACAAATCTCCATGATACCGATGACGATGGCGACGATGAAACGACGGTGCTACTTTTGCTTGCCGCACGTAGCAGATATGTACGTGTATCTATTATCTCTTGTGCACAGGAGAGAGCATCTAGATGTTGGGGGATTCTTTGCGTCTAAGGTAGCTAGCTATATGACGGGGAATGATCGAATCATGCTCGCTTAAGACGCATGCATGTATATATCTGCCATCTAGATACTGAATATATATTATAAAATGCGAGTTATAGATACATACATCCTATACACTCACGATCGATATCAGATATCAACATCGTATCTCTTCCTACTTCGGTAACCCTTTCCCGGCGCCAGGTATTCATACCTCGAGGGGTTTGTGTCTCCCTCGTTCTCATTCGATGTCTGTCTCACCTTGACTGTCACCTTGATAACCAGCTAACTATACCAAGATCCGAAGAAATAGACCGAGTGGCCATGGCACACGTGTAATTTCACACCAGAAAAGAAATAGGCCGACAATAAGAGTGTTAAAAGAGTACAGCAGCCAGTCAGTTAACCAATTGGTACCTCCTCTTATCTTCTGCTTGCCGTAGTTGATTAACTATATGCGATACGAGGTGCTTAACTGCTGTCTGTTGATCTCTCAGCCAACACGGGCAGTATAGGCCTTCCTTTCTCTTCACCGGCCCGGCTATCAACATGGATCTCTTCTTTCGCTTTCTACGCCTCCCCTACCTTGAGAAGAATATGCAAAGTATAACGAACCGTATAAGTTATATAAGGAATAGGATTTGTAAAAATAAAAATAAAAAAAGACAGCAAGCATCCCCCATCCCTACTTGCATGCACACATAAGTACATCGATTGCAATCCACTCACCAACGACTTTAACTCTGCTTCTTCGCCTTATCTGCGTCTAGGCATTAATTATTCGTAAAAGGGAAAATTTTTCTTAAAAGGGGGAAGAAAGAGGATTGAAGAAGATGACATCCCTTGGCTCTCATGTTTTTCTATAGACTCTATCTACCTAGCTATCCCTGGCTGCGCTTTTTGTGCCTTTCTCGGGTTTTCTCGCTCTCTGCTGTCCCGGAAATATTGCTTAGTTCACGATTCTTGAGATTCAGTTTGGCGCACGGTTAGCAGCATTTGCATAGTTACTGAAGCTAAGTTGAGCAGAGGCCCAGAGCAGAACTTTGCAGAGAGTAGGTTGACTGACTTGAGTGCTTGATTGATCTGTCCATCTATTGATAGATGAGATGGACAGTTAACGAGAGAGGGGAGCCACACTGATGATAGACGGGTGACAGAGTTACGTACAGGCGTATATTAATTTAGTTATCCCGTGCGCAGGGAGGCCATGAGCGGCTTGTGACGTCGACGATTCGTTGTGTTAGCCTCTTGTCAACGATCGATCGACGCAGCAAAGTGTGTTTTTGAACGATAGTATCATCATCATACTTTAGAAGGGGAAGAGGAGGGAGGGGTGTGTGTGCGTGTGTGTCTCCGTCTCTGCTGGGGTGAAAAAAAAGGGGGTGGTAGGGATGTTTGATAGCGTGGCAAAAGCTACGAAGTGTAAGTATAAGTGTTAAGGCAGAAGTGGAAACAAAAGGGCAAACTCCGACCGTTGGGGCTTTATTATCATAGCTTATAGACCTGTATTATTATTATATATGGCAAGGATGCGTCGTATTTGCAGCCCTACCTGGAGAGCGTGAAACAGACGAGAGGGAGCCGTATACGGATGTAGATGTGTTCCGGCGGCCGTGGTAGCTGGTGGCAGGTAGCTGCTGCCGCCGCTGCTGCCGGTGTTGGTGACCGAGAACAGCGAGTTGAGTCCAGCCCGAGACGGGGTCTCGACGGGCTCTTGCGCAGCGGCTGGTCCGCACCCCATACCCATGTACCCATGCATTCCACGCCTGAAGTACGGAGCATAGTCGAAAGCTAGAGCTGCATGGCTACTAAAGGAGTCAAGAGAGGCAGGTGGCCGTGTAGCCCTTTTTTGTTTCAGGCCAAGGTGGAAGCCCCAAAGAGGCCATCTGAGATTGAAATTGAGATTGAGATATTGCTAAGAGTACACAGATTAGGGAGGTACGAGGTAGATAGATAGATGGCGTTCTGAGGGACCCCACAGAGGTTGCTCAGCTCACATTGACGCTAAGGGCTTCCTCTTTTTACCTACTTCATACTTGAGAGTACGGAGTATCATGTATAAGTATTCTCATTACCTTTATTACAGAGTAACCTAGTATGGGAAGGACGAAGACGACGAAACAGCCAGAACAGCAGCCAGAGAAGAGGCCATAGACGGCAGACAAGCAAGGACAGAAGCGGCAGAGGCAGCAGAAGCAGAAAGAGGCCAGTGGCTCGCCTGGCCCTACGAGACCTGTGGCGCCCATCTCCACACCTCGGCCTTCCTTTTTATCCTTTTTTCCTTCTTTTTGCTTCTTCGTCTCGTCTTCTTTTCTTTTTGGTTCTTCTTCTCCCTTTTGCTCCAAAATCTCCACCTTAACTAAGGTAAAGTACTTATCGAATATGTGGCGTGTGTGTGGCAGTGCGAGTATATGGGTATCGGCCTCAGCCAGTTGTATGGACGGAGTAGACGAGCGAAGCAGAGGAACGGAGAGAGGAGCTATTGGACCCTCACTGGGGGATAAATTGACTCTGAGGCAGCCAGAGGACGCTTCGGAAACATGGTACGGAGAGGTTAGAAGGACGGAGAACAAGGAGCTCTGGAGAACACCAGAGCAGATTGTGGCAAATGAGAGAGAGACAAAACGGGTAGTTTGGCCCATGGTAATTCGTCATGTAACTAGGATGGGACGGACGAGCGCATCGCGGAGGTCACTAGGTAAGTAGTGGCGGGCGTAGCGAAGGGCGAGATATGGAGAGTAAGATACCTAGAAGTACGGAGTATGGGATGGATGGATGAATGAGTGAAGATGATAATAGGGGGTACTACTACTGCTAATACCCTAATGTTAATAAGGATAAGAACAAGAAGAATAATAACAATAACAATAACAATAACAATAATAGTGGGAGACAACTATGGGAGGAACCATTCGAGAACAATTGCAGTGTGCGATGCTGTACGACCCCGTCTTCCCAGGAGCAATTTCAACTTATCTTCCGCCTGGGAAGATAAAACCCTCCTTGAACGCTTCTTTTTCTTTTGCTCCATTAGTTATTTTGATCCAACTGGGAAAGTTATCGAAAAAGGACCCGTACATAGTGGTAATCGACAGTGCTTCTTGTGTCAGTGTAGCTGTACCTGGTACAACACCTACTGATGTGGTATCCTTACCCTGTCTCTCCCCTTCTCTGCACTTTCACTCCCTTCCCCGCCATAGTCACCCTTTATATACCAGGAACCAGGGGCCTGCGAAAGGCAACTGCTGACCAATCCCGTCCTTCCATTTCTGTGTCTTTTCTTCTGGTTATTCATAGTAAACGTAGACCTACCAAAATTTACATATGTACGCTACGTAAGGTGTGGCTCGCGACGACGGACCGCCGTAGTTAGCTACAAAAACTACCAAATGAAATTGGTTACTCGATAACCATCTACCAAATTCACCGACCACCACCACAACCACCGCGACCAACAATAACGACGACGGCAGTAACAACTACTATTACTGCTACCACAACCGCCGAGGTGATGAACATGGACAAACACCGAAGCGCAAGTACCTTTTGAGCGGCGAAAAAGGGCCATGAGCCAAGCTTCTCTATCCCCGTCTGGATCGGCCAATCATCCCCGAACCCAACATGCCCTCCCCCAGTCTGGAATGATGGAATATAGCATCATGGGTGGCTTGCTCCTCGGATCGTCTCTCTCGCACAGGAAGGAAAAAGGAACGTCACGGCCTGGTGGATGCTCATTCTTCGAAGCATAATCCCATCCCTTCTCCATTTGCTTTTTCTTCTCTCATGCAACCTTGCTTTTTCCCCTTCTTTTTGCAAAACACCAAAAAAAGAAAAGGGTAAAAAGAAAAAAAGATCGAGAGAAGCGCAGAGGTTAGTTAGATGGATGGAGAAAGAAACGAAGAGACCAGACCAGAGGAGACGAGAAGAGAGGGAGAGAGACGCTGCCCAGAGAGAGGACGGAGCTCCGTGAAATGACATAGCTGTGGCCCCACCGGTTGCTTTTCTTTTCTTTTCTTTCTTTTCTTCTTCTCTTCTTTTTCCTTTTCCCGCTCTATGCTATCGTCATTAACTATAGTTAATTTTCTCTGGCTCGAGAACTGTTGTTCTGTCGATGATATTTATTCGGACTCTCCTCCTCTCTGCTGCCGGGCTGCATCTCATTCACTCCCAACAACCCCACGGGCACCGGGCCAGACGATATCATCCCTGACCAAGGATCCTGCAAAGAAAGACCGTATTAGATACCGTCCGGGAAGCGGTTCCTTACAAATATATCTTTAATCGTCTTTCTGCTTCGTTTTATTTTATTTTTATATTTTTATATTTTTATTTTTAAGCTCTTTGCTTCCTCCTCCCTCCTCCTCCTCCCTCTCTAGCTCTTCTGCTCTCATCGTCCCCTAAGAGAAATAGGTCCTTACCGGCTTCAACTGGAAAAAGGAGGAAAAAGGTGTGCGAGTGTGCGAGTGAGTGAGAGAGAAAAGGGCGGAGTAATCAGCTGTTGTTGTTTTTTCTATACAACTACCAAACCGGCTGCTTCGGTTGGATGTCCCTGTGAACCAACAAGCCCCTGGCTCGCCTCCTATCCCTACCAAACAAACGGCAGCAGCATCTTCTCCAGCTTTTCTTGCTGCTATTACTTTATCAGCCGTCTCGACCTCCCAATTCTCTGCATCTTCAGAGCTAAACCCTCTTATCCTTTTGGTTTCTCACTTCCACCCCGGCTCTTACTTGCGCCCTGTTAAGAGGAAGTGAAAGAGGCGAAAAAAAAACCAAAAGCTGCGATTTTACCTACCAAGCTGCTCTTCTCCGGATTGCTCTCTCTATCCATCATCCTTCACTGAGGTCGGTTTATTTTTCCTCTGGTTACTTGCAAGAGACGAAAGAAAAAGGACAAAGACATTCTCGAATGTAATATACCACCAATCTTTCCTACTTCTCTTCCGTTTATTTCTTCATTACCTCTTATTATCCATCTATACCCCATTTCACACATCACGGCCTGAATAATATTCAATCCCAGACTCGGTGGGTGAGCTTGGTTGGGTGGTTGGGTGGCTCGTTGATGTTTCTTTCCCCCTATTTATATCCCCATCTACGCCCTCTTGTCTAAGGAGGAGATTTCTATCCCCCTTCCATCTGCTCCTTTCTTTCCCTCCAGTCGACCGGCATGTTTCAAAATCGGTACGTACATGGCGGAAAAAAAGAGTCAGGGCTTCTCTATATACACTCCCTTTTGATCTGGTCGTCTTTCGTCTCATTTTTCTGTGAGTACACATTCATATCGTGGCATTTGATACTGACTCCGGTCTACAGAAAGAACTCACAAAAACCAGACGAAGCCTTCTACGCACAGTTTAGAAGGAACTTCGTCCAGAACGGCCCCAGTGCATTTATTCGGCCGGACCTTAACCGGTCTTTATCTTCTTCTACGCTACCCGGAAGTGGACGCCCAATTATGGGCCAGTCACTCGTTCACAGGTTGGTCATCGATTCACCCGCATGATGGGGGCGTTGAGAGTCCAAGAAGTTCCAGTTCCTCCTTTTCTTCGCAGTCACAAGGATTGACCATGGGTGGAGAGACGTGCTCATTGCCTTGTTGAAGACCGCTCCGGCTGGTGTGCATCACGCGAGAGATTTAGTAAAAGAATTACAGATTTGGCTAACGATTTCGTCCCTTTTGTTTGCTTGTCGGTAAATATAGAGGTGTTCTCGAGCAGCACGATCCCACAAGAAACCACGATCTTTCCTGGGGTTTGCCAACTCAGGTCGGAATGGATCACAGCCAGAGCATGTTCGCCCATCTGAACGGCCAGTCGCCCTTTTACTCTACGATTCCCGGCATGGCAATGCATCATGATATGACTAGTCCGCTCGATGATATGCTAAGTCCCCTGATACCTGCTGCCACAACTTCCGTGGATCCCTCCGTTATCTCGAATCAGCCCATTAGCATGGCCGGCATACAACAACCCTATGGTCAGCCCATGGCACATCAGATGTGTACTATGGCAGCAGACCACATTGATGCATATGCGCAGCCACACACTTTTCCTCCAGCAGCGATGCTTCATAGAAACTCGGACTTGGGCCCTCTTACTCAAGATAATAACTCCTTTGCCCAGTTGCAGCTGCGTCGTGGGTCAGCCAGTGTTACCACAGATCAGAAACAGCAGCAACTGAAAGAGCAGGAATTCTACAATGAAGAGTAAGCTTATTATGCAGCTCACGGGTTATTTGTTTTTCTTTTGCTTTTTTTGCTAACATATAGTGTTAATCCACTACCAGCTTCCGGTTTCATGCCGTCCTTCGTGCAGCTACAGCGATGGTCAAAGACCCAGACGAAATCCCAATCACCTACCTCAACAAGGGTCAAGCATACACATTGACCATCTTCGACTCTGCCGCCCTGAGCTCTCCTCGCCGACCCACAAAATACCGAACTTATATTCGGGTCTCATTCGAAGAAGAAGAACAGAGATCAAAGCCTGCTAGCTGTTGGCAGCTGTGGCAAGAAGGACGTGGTGCAAACGAGGCTCATCACCGAGACGGCAAGCTTCTTGCAGTCGAACACGTTGATCCCAACCAGGGAGGTGACGGTGACCTACGCCACCAGCAAGTCCAGCTTGAGAGTGAAAACTTCGATGGCTTCTCAGTAGTTTGGACTCCAAACAGAATTAACGGGAGACACGAGTGTGCTATATCGGTGAGGTTCAACTTCCTCTCAACCGACTTCAGCCACTCCAAGGGTGTGAAGGGTATTCCCGTCAGACTCTGTGCCAAAACTCAGGTCGTTTCCGGTATCTCGGAAATCCCAATACCGGAGTACGCTGAAGTGTCATACTGCAAAGTCAAGCTGTTCCGTGACCACGGAGCTGAACGCAAGCTGTCCAATGATGCCACACATGTGAAGAAGCAAATAGAGAAGACCCGAAGTCAGATACTTCAAGCAGAGTCCGGTGCTGCCAGTGGTGAGAAGAGGAAGCGAAGTGGCTCGATCTCCAGGGGGGGAAGCGGGAACAAGGTCAGCAAGACTCCCAAGTCAAAGAGGTCCTGGTCCCAGGGACAAGGCGAAAAGGCACCATTCGAGGATGATCTACACTCTAGACTTCAGAGTTTCATGGAGATGTTTCGCTCCGTACGACATGCCAGTGTCTTGAACCTCAAGGGAGATCCCGAAGACGATCCAGATGCGTACCCGGTGAGAATAGACCAGCCTCTAGAAAACAACAGCAACAACATGGCCGGTGCTACACTGGAATGGGATGCCGCGCACGCCGCTACCGCCAATGACGGAACAATCTCACATTCTTTTTCTCCAGCCAGCAGTCATCGCTCTATCACATCATCCCGCCACTCTTTCGACGTCAAGCCCAATATGGCTACGAATGGTGCGATGTTTGGGGACTCACGCCACGGGTCGGTTGACTGGTCTGGCTTTGCCTCGCATGATCCCGAGGTCCATCCACACCCCAAGCATGGCCAGGTCCTGAGCCAGCCAATCAAGATCCAGCGACACGGCGCCACTGATGCGAATGATGGATGGTTTGAAGCCATGGGCGTCGACCCAAACTACAACCCTCCATCAGACGCAATCGTCGTTCCAAGTACGTTTGTATACACTTTATCTCCTTCCCTTGTACTTGATATATCAAAACGCGCATGTACTAACATTGTCCCCCGATCTAGAACACTGTTTCTACGTCAAGGCCAGCCAGAATGACGATGAGAAAACAGCAAACTACCATCATGCAATCTACATCCAGCAGCGCAATAGCCAGGAGTTTGTCGAGGCCCTAGCCAGGAAATGGAAGCTTGACCCTGCAAATGTCATCCGCACCATCCAGGTTCGCGATGATGGCCTTAGCGTCATCGTCGACGATGATGTTGTGCGAGAGCTACCTGAGGGTAAAGACATGGTAGCCGAGTTCCTCCAGCTTCGCGAAGAATCAGAAGGTCCAAATATGGACGTCGACTCTCCTGTCTCACCTGGAGCTGCCGGTCCAGTCGAAATTCGACTGAAGTTTTAATACCCGTTCTTCATTTTTCCTCCATTGACCCTTGATAAATCATATGGGCTGGCAGTAAAAAAAAAGAAGCAAAAGAGCTTGCGCCATTAAAAAAAAATCAAGCAAGCAAACAAACAAACAAACAAAAAGGGAATACACAGTTTTACAAGGCAAAAAACTTCTCAGTTTCGCCTTCTTGGGGGGATGCTTATTTTTTCAAAACATCTTATCCTTTAATAATTGGAGGCTTTTAATTCTATCTTTCTATACGGAGGTTTTCTTTGCCAACAGCCCTCGTCACATTGACGCATAATCAAGACTTTTAATACCTGTCTTCGACTGCTCCCATGTCAACAGAAATAACCAAAAACACAGGACACCGGGAACGAAAAATATGCTTTGGCGCCGGCATCATAGATGGGTCTTTTTCCTTTTCTTTTTAGCAAGCTCGCACGTTCCCGGTGGCTGAATGTACTCTTGTACCTATGATCATAGGGAACATCCAAAAAGGGGCTGCTGTCTGATTTACCTATGCTGTTTCACTTCCAATTTCTTGTTGTTTCCGCCCTCCATCTTCTGGGGTACCCTTTGATATGGTGCTAGCTCTTATCACAATGGTTCCTTTGGTTTTACCCATTCCCACACGGCTGGGTTAAAGATTTGATGGGGGGAGAGAAAAAAAACAAAAGGACGGGCTATATCGACCTAGCCAGACGGGCCTGGCTGGGTTGGTTCTATATCTATCATGACTACGACGAATCTCTTTTGTATGGAGTACACGCGGCTGGACTCGGACGGGATGGATTGACTGCTTTCTTTTTACCGTTTTCTTTCTTTTGTGTTGATTTCCCGAAGGATGTGTCGCTTTGCTTCTTTCGCTTGGTCTTGCTGCTACTTTCTTCTATGTTCTCTCGATTTCTTTCTTGTTACGCCCTTAATTTCTCTCATTCCTTTTGACGGGCCGCGTTGTGTTTACTTTTTTTCGATATTTGAATTTACTTTATATCGGAGCAATTTTTTCATTTCTTTTCCGCCTTTCTCCCGTGTATATCTTTTTTCTTTTCAAAAGGCTTTTGTTTGTCTTCTCAGTTCCTTTTTCTATCTGTTTGCTTGCTATACTATAAAGGCATTGTCTTCTTGACCTATGCCGCCTTCATGCATAATTAGTAATGACTGTGTAAACCTTCTCCCGCTTATGCATATGCCACAACGGGATGAAGCTAGGACATTATGAAAAGCCATAGGCTAGAATATGCCAGTGATAAAATTATAAAAGCCACCACTCTTCTTAACTTTATTCTTTCTTTCTTCTCGCAGATCCCATCCCATTTAGCCTATTAGAAAGTAACAAATAGTGTATATGTAGACATATTTACAATTCTGTCTTAGAATCGCATCGTTGGTGCGGGCGTCCATCAATAGCCCCACTCAGGCTGACTGGAAATAAAATGAGAGTAGGACTGAAAAAGAAATGAAAGTAGGAGGAGGACGAGGAGTGAAAAAAAGGTTGCTACCTAAAGGCAGGACAGAAGTCAACCACAAAGGTAGAAGAAGATATAGCTGACTACTAATATCCCTTTCACCTAATTCAGTAAATAAGTGCTGCATAGAGATCCCGAGCAAACCCAGGAGCCAATATACATGGGCTGATGTGACATCACCTTATTTGCTACACCTCCTCTCACATACAGGAGATATATCAGATAATTGTGTCAAAGCGCCAGTATCTAGCCCCTGAGTAAGCCAGGTTGGTTACAGCAGACCCCTTGGCATATTATTACATAATCTAGGCCACAGGAGACTATGAGAATATAGATAAGGGATGCACATATAAAACAGCAGAAAGCAAAGAGGTGTGATAACTTCCTCGGAGATACATATTACTACTATAGTTGCCTTTTCACAATGAACAGGCTTATGCACAATGACGTTATTAGGTAGACTTAGCGCCCTTTTTCTCACGTGGCAGTGGGTTCTTGTGGAGAGGTTAGCGTATAACGTTAAATTTAACCTCCCGTTGCTTGGCTATCTTTAAATATCAAATGATAGCATGTCAAAGGGGAACTGTAGGAGATGGCAGTTCTATTTGTAGGATATCTACTGGTTTATTTGGTTTGTTGTGGTTTGTCTGTATAGCTGGTGGAGAGAAGGAGATCTGAAGAGGCTGGGGTAGAGAAATTGAGTCAGCAGGAGCAGAGATAATGTACATTTCAAACATAGCTTGGACGGGGAGGAAGAGCGTATAAAAAAAGCCGTAAGAGAGTAGAAACGGCCATTTAAACGAACCGTTAGTAGTTTATATGGGTTATCTCCAGATGTGCTAGCAACTAAAGCACTTGGTGCAGCTCAAGGGCAGGCAGGGAAGACCCCAAGATGGCCCTGATGAGGCTCGAAGATAGGACGAAGACAGGCCGGGTCCCCCGGCCTGTAGAAACGCACCGTTGCTTCTCGGATGGCCCAAGATCGACAGGACAGCAAGATGACAGGCAGAGAGACGTCGTGAAGCAGCTGCTGGAGGGTATAGAGGGCAGCAGGACACTGCCTGATTGGGCATAGCCCCTCTTGCGAAAGCTCGCTTGTGCGGTTGCTCGGTAACCCACCCAGGACCGCACTATAAAAGACACCTCCTCACCCCTCTTCTTCCCGTTTTTCTTTTCCTTCTTCTTCTTCCTCCTCCTCCTCTTCATCACCATCATCACAACACGTTCGTCAAGCTCGTTACGACTTCTCGTTCTCGTCTCTCAAGTCAAACGTCAACTCATCTATCTCATCCCCAAGTCTTCATCGACTCCTTGCTTACAATCAAAATGATTGTCTCTACCAAGCTTATTCTCGCCGTTCTGGCTTTCGAGGCTGCCATTGCAGCTGCTGGTATGTGGTATCTCCTTCATATCCCCCACTTCATGCTATTCTCCTTGCTTTGCTTGACACACCTTGCTTCTTGCTCGACGGCTACGGTCTCGTGAAAGACGTGACATCGTAGCTATGCATAAGCATCATCGCTCCATTCTTACATCACGTCCTTTCTCGTGCCTTGTTGATAAACCAACTCCTAACTCGTCATGTATAGCTCGTGTTCAGTATGATGCAGCCAACGTTGAGCATGCCAATATCTTCGGACGCGATGGTAATTATAACTCGACTCCCATGCCGTCAAGGAAAAACGGGTCTAAAAGGCCATGCTAACAGGTATCATAGGTGAAATGACTGTCACTGTCACCATGACTGAGTGCAATTCTGCTTCGACTCCTGCCCCTTCAGCTTCAGTCCCAGCTCCACCTGGTACTTCCACCGTCAGTGCTACTGTTCCCAACATGACCACTGCCGTCCCAACTGGGCCTCCTGAGGCTCCTGCTACTTCATCTGTCGTGGTTACCACCTCTGGAGCGCCCACCACAACCCCTTCTCCACCCATGTCTTCGTCTACCCCTGAGACCAAGACTTCCGTCTCCCACGAGACTTCTCGCACCACTCGTTCCTCACCTTCTGAGACCGTGGCTACGCCTACTCCATCTGCCATGGCTTCTCGCCATGTTGGTTTCCACGCAGTCTTGGCTGGTGTGATCGGTGCTGCCATCTTTGCAGCCTTGTAAATCAGCTCAGATGATACGGACAAGCATCTTTCTGTGATTTCACTCAAATGTTTTCCTTTTCTTATGAAATACACCCATGTCAATCTTAAACTGATGCCCTGTCCTTCAAATCATGTACCCACGTTCTGTGGACTACATCACTTCTGACTGTTTTCCAAATTCCTCTGAATTTTCATTTGTGATTATGATCCTTGGGGGGTGACTTGACGAAAACAACGTTTCACGTGTGTGTGGCAAGGTTATGGCGCATCGGATCGGATAAAGACTGCCTTTCATTCACGGTTTATCAAAAAGGATCTTTAGTTAGCCAAAAAAATAAAAATGGGAGAGTCTGGTCTAGCCATTCGCTCATCTGACAACAATTCCATGGACTTTTCTCCCATATCTTCTTCTGCTTTCCCTACTGATGGTGGCTCCTAGTATCCTGGGTTTGGGTATGGGTGGCAGATAGCCTTGTTGAAATTAATATTCTGAACTATTGGAAGAGTAAACACCTTCGGCTGGGTCGTACTAATAAAGGAGGTATCAAGAAAACTAACACAAAATACATCGGCAACGCTGACAACTTACCTCCCACAAACGAACAAATGAAACAAATCACGATCTAAACAAACACAATGGCGAATATGTAGCCGGACCAGGTTGCTCTGATGAATATACGTAATGCATGGATATCCAAACTCTTCCCATGAACATAGTAAAACAAACTCAGTGGTTGGGTATTAAAAACCGGAAGGGGTATAACCATATGAGTAGACGATGATGGCCCATGGCTAGAGGTGACTATTATTATTATTTTTGACTTTTGCATTTATTTTCTCATTTTTTTTTGTGGTCTTTTCGTCGTTCTTTTGACATCTCGCTACTGCGTGGAGTCCTTCAAAGATTCAGCGCATATTCGGCATCCGTCGCCAATTTCGTCTCTTAAAAGCCTAGCATTGGTGACCTTGAGGCCGACGGTACGAGAAAGGGTCGGGGACTGAATAGAAGAAGGCTGATAGTGAAATTTCGGTGAAGATGTATCTTGTTCCCGAGGAGTTTCCTGCTCTTCAGGTGTTGACGGGCCGTGAAGGTGAGATACATGGTATATGTGGCCACATGCAAAGACGACAATAGTCTCCGTTTCTATTAAAGCGTTAATGCTGGTTAGAATTATGCAATAAAAAAAGTGGATTGCATAGTATCTTCCTTGGGTGGAGGATAAAAGTTACCTTGCTCAACAAATGGCTCCTTACACCCCGCGCATCGCCCTAGGGGGACATCATTTGATGCTCTCTTCTGTTTCTCACCGAGGATCTCTCCGTTTGTATGTGGCTGTACATCTTTATCTGGACCATCAGCATCCTCAATGGCGCTATCTTCGTCATGGCAAACGTTAAATTTCATCCCCTGCCGTTGGCCTTTCCGCAATGCATCCATTCGGATGGCAACCTCACCAGCCAAAACTTTTGCAACCCCTAAGCTTATACTGGCTTGGATATCATGCTCACGAATCATTCTAGTAAGACCTTCTCTCAAGCCTTCGATCTCGAGCCCGCTGGGAATTCTCTTCACAAGCTTTATAGGGTCAATGGCCGTGCTTGCTTCTGTGAGTAGCGCACGTATATATTCCGGTTTGTCCATTGAATACGATAACAAATCGTCCCAAAGGTCTGGGTCATCCTGAGATTTAGCAAATGAAATGGCATGAGATATGTCTTTCAAGCTAGAGAGGATCAACTGAAGTGCCCGCTTTGTTTGTCCAGTTTTAGACAGGAGATAAATAAGCTCTGGTGTAAAGTTGCGACTCTCACAAATTGAACAGGCTGTGTCGTAGGAATACGACGTGCTTGATTGCAGGAATTGCATGAGTAAGGGGCGGTCGTAATTCGCAAAGAGTTCGACAACTGTGTCCGCAAATCCGTCGATCATTATCCTCCCTTCATCTGCGACTAGTTTGCCTGCCTCTGCTTCCGTTCTGTGGTGTCCACGCGCTCTGATAGCAGGCCTGCCTCCTTCTTTAGACATAAAGTCTCCTCTCCAGAGTGCACGAAGGTAGAAATAAAGGAAAAGTCCTAGGCCTGCCTCTTGTAGTTGCGATACTACAGTTTCAGGATGGACTATACCATTAGCTGCCTCACGCACAAGTAGCTTGATGGGCTCAGAAGTAGCCTCTTCTAGCTCATCGGTTGGAGCAGTCTTTATTCGATTTTTTGGTACCCGGAGTAAAATAAAACCTGGGATATCCTCAGAAACGGAGTCAAGCAGGTGATACTCTCGAATCAAACCCATAACGGCATCACCATCTTGGAGTTTTATATAGCACCGCAAAGCTTCGCGATAGCGTCCTCCAACTAGGAATAACTTAGCAAGACAATTCAAGAGATTCCTCCAATCTTCAGTTCCTTCCTCCGTCATGCCAAGTTGGTCTTGTATGGCCGCGGTAACGCTATCCGTCTCGAAAAGATTAGAAGGCCATAGCTCTATCAATTCATTAAACTTGGCTCGATCGCGGGAAACATAGTGGCCAAGGATAACCTCGTATACAAAAGATGGTAACGGAGGCTCAATGTCAATTGGCACATGGGAAGTGATTTCGTCGAATTTTCTGTTCCGCGCAAAAACACAGATCCAGTGATCCCATGCTGCAGTAGTTCGAAGAACTTTGTTGCAGACGTTCCCTGCCTTTTCCCACTCTCCGTGGCCAACTAGCTGCTTTAGCCATAGCTCGCCGATACGACGCTTTTCCTGCTCATACTTAAAGTTACCAGAATGGCTTGTAGTTCGAATGGAAGAGCTATCAAGTAAAGATAGACCTGGTTGGCCTGGAGCACTCGGGGTTGGGGTTCCCGGAGGGCTCTCTTCTCCTTCCCCGGGAGCGGCACTGAAAGCATCTGGGTTTTGTTCAAGTAGTTCCCAAGCTTCTTCATACCGCTCGCGAGAATCAAGCCAAGACAGCCGATCCTCGAAACCCCTTTTAACCGCAAGTATGCAATCATACGGGCTATGTACGAAGACTCTGATCCCTGCTGTAGCAGCTATTTCAATCTCCTTGTTGTATTTCCCACCATGAAGCAAGCCTGAAGAGTCGACCGTACCAGTTACCTGGAAACCAGATCCTTTGTCCGCATTACTACCCATACTTCTAGAGCTAGTTCCCGAGCTAAATAAACGTTTGGGATAAAGTGTGGCATCGATAAGCCCGGCGGTTATCGATTCTAAGGCTCCTCTTTGAGTGGTTGAAGCAATGCGGCTCAGTGGAAGAGTATCAAGATGGTAATCCGAAGCAGAAAGATTTTCATAATTTCGGACGGAGAGGATATCACCGCTCAGCTCTTCCTCAGTATCAATATCGATTAGTCGCAGCTCTGGTTGGAGGCCATTCTGCCTTCGTCGAATTCCACGAGCAGGGCCAGCCTGCTTCGAAGGGGTTCCAGGATCCTCATCCTCAGGGATAATATAAGACAAAACAAGTAACAAATTTTGGGTATATAGCGAAACACCAGATATAATACAATCTGTTCGTAGCCTATAATCATGTTAGAAACCAGCAAAGCCATCGGGGGTAGAGAAGAACCAACTTGGTCGTGATTTCAGCCGAGGCTATCCTCTTCTTACCAATGCCTGCTGCTTGGTCACCACGAGAGACTTTTATGATCCATATTGTGCCTCCCCAGCCAACAAGCAGTTTCTCGGGGCCATGGCTTCCTAATCGTTGCGATTGGGTTGAGGCGTCATCCACCTGTACTAGAGATGCATTTTCGCGCTCCAACGATTCCTCGTCAATCCATACAACGCGGGGTTTCCATACTCCAGCCATTTCATCCCATAGTTGTGACCGTGGCCTATCTGTATGGCCAAATCGTTCCCATGCATGTTCTGCCTCCGCTTGTTCAAGGTGTAAATGCGAACGCATGATCTTTATGCCCTCTTCATTCACCCAGGCAACGTATTTTCCGGACCTTGACCACTTAATGCAGCTTATGGCCCCCTCGCCGCTATGAAGAATTCTATCTTTCCCATTATTTCCTCCAAGGCCCAGCGATCCAAACCAACCAGTGGGACTCGCGCCTCCCAACGTTGCGTTTGAGCTTGCACCAACACGACCTCCAATGGTCAGGACCAGGTTTCCTGATTTCCCTCCTGAGACATAAGTTCTGTCACTTTTATATTCTGGCGATAATGCAACTGCGCTGACCGGCCTTCCAAAGTTCCGGAGTGTTACATCTTTGGGATCAACTAAGGACGCAACACAAACGTTTCCATCCATAGAAGATGTCGCAATATATATCGAGTTTGACGGAGTTGGTGGTATTGTGACTGGGTGTGGTTTCGATCCATTTGGGCTCTCAGATATGGACGCGCCTGACCCACCACTCTGTATTATAGGGGCGAAATCTACTTTTGTAGGCGCAGGCGGTGGAAATGGGGATACGGAAATGGAGTCGATGCTCGCTGAATGAGCGTGGTATACTCGGAGGCGTTGGAAAAAGGGGACGGAGTACACATGCTGCAAGTTGTTAGCCGGAACTAGATGCGATGTTGAGGTACCGGTTTGCATACAATATTCCCATTATGGGTTCCAACAATCTACAACACTCTTAGTTAAACCAGTTCGCTAAGGCCAGACCATTGCATTAGAGTAGGGCATACCATCTTATTTCCGGCAGTCATGAACGTGCTTGTAGCATCCTTGTTGCGATAGAGTGGACCAAGGACTGGTGTAATCGGAGCATATTTGAGTCGCGGCTCCTCGTCTTCAGCGTCATCTTCATCCTCTTCCCCTTCTTCATCGTTCCTATCATCATCATCACCCTCCTCCTCTTCTCCTTCTTCGCTCACGACCTCGTCCTTCAAGGTATCTCTGTTCCCTGCGTCGGCAGTTGTCTTGCCCGGCTCTATCTTCCGTTTGCCGCTCTTTGCTTCACTGGGGCCCGCGGCCTCCATCCCGCCGGGTTTCTATCTTATCTAACAAGTGCGCCAGTGCGAACAAAAGCTGGCATGGCATATAAAAACACCAGGATTTCTAAAACCCGCAGATTCTGGGAAGAAGACAAGCGGTTGATCAACCTGGGAGCTCCCGACCTCACCTGGAAGCTTAGATGTCGGATTATTAGTAATGCCGATACCCCGGCGCTGTTTTCGGCCAAATTCAAAGGTCGGATGTATTTTGGAAGATAAAGATCAACATCCATGTCAGGCCTTGGATATCGATCTCTGTTGCAGAAGCATAGACGCGTGGAGGCTGGTATGCATGTTATGCTGCAGTTAATGGGCTAATGACCCTTTTTTACAACTATTTTTCCGGCAGCTATGCTCCTTCGTCGAGTTTTATCTGCACCCAGAGAATGTGCACTGCTCAGGGCTTCTGTCCGCCGAAATATATATACAACACCACCTTTCAATAGTGCCCATAATACTTTCCTGGGTCGCAATGCCCTCCACTCGTCAAATAGGAAACTTGAACAAGAGACAATATCTCCAAACCCAGGAAAACCTGCTGCACAGCAAGCAAAACTAGAGCCATCTAGAGGGAAAAGAACATCACGGTCCCCGGCTGGGAAAACTTCGCTACGACGTGCAGCAGTTGAGGCACAGATATCCAAAGATGTCAGGCGACTTCCCGTATCTCCGGAGATGCCCTCACCGGAGCCAAAGGTTAGCAAATGGAATGGTCATACCCAGTATAAATGTAGTAACTAATCCCTCTCAATTAATTTGGTATAGGTTGTTACCGCATACGCCGTTGCCGAACGCTTTGATATTGCCAAAGTTATGGAAATACTTCTAGCAAAAGGATACGAGCCCGATCCCCTCGAAACTGGTCTTTACCCTCAAGTAGTTCATATTCAAGTTCCACTTGATTCGATCCGGCGAACCACTAGCTTAGCCTCGTCAGATCTGCCTTCAGATGAGGTGGGCGATGTGTTTGTGTTTCCTTCGGGAACAGTTGTCTCATGGTCACTTCCTGAGACATTTGCATCATACCTAGCAACCACTGTGTTATTACCAGCCGCCGAAAACCCGCACATCGAACGGATGGAGACGGAAGACCTGGACTACATTGAAGACCCCCAGCGAGACAGTAGTTTGATGAAAGGCGACGTTATCATTCTAGGGACCAACCCTGTCCCTGAGGACCAAAAAACCCAAGATATCCGACATCCAAACCGAACCACGGTCGATACAGTACTCACAAAGATTGCCTTTTCCTCAGGTTTAGCCCGGAGTACTAAGCTGGCTGTATTGGAAAGTCTTCTACTGAACTATTTTGATTCCACACGCAATATACCCACGCAACTCTCAAAGGGATCTCGATTACCCTACACACGCAGTTTTATACTGCGCAAAACTGGCCAATTACTCAGCCTCAGAGCACAATTGAACCTTTACTCAGAGTTAACAGACTCTCTTCCAGATATTTTCTGGGATAGCAGACACGAGCTTGGGTTGGAAGGGAATTATGACCAAGTCGGAAAAGCTCTGGATGTTGGCATCCGCATCAAGGTGTTAAATGAGAAAATGGATTACGCGCAAGAGATTGCAAGTGTCTTACGTGAACGTTTGAGTGAAACTCACGGACTCCGATTGGAGTGGACCATTATTCTCTTGATTGCGGTTGAGGTTTGCTTTGAAGTTCTAAGACTCTGGAAAGAGAGAAAGCAGGAGCTAGCTGCTGCTGTGAAAGAGAATAGAGAAAACCCTGCCGATGAAAAAACCTCCACGTCATAACTTCCATCTCCACTCCAGTCCTCGACTCCTACGCCCTTTTAGAAATGGCTGGCTTTTTCCAGTGGGTACGTCCACTCATCCCATTTTCTTTGTACAGATACCATTTGATTTTAAGAACGTTTATCATAGAATAATAGCCATATACACAAATGGATTTTGTATACAAGTTCTTCGATCTTTGTGATTTTGGATACACTTCGCAATCCTCTTCCAGAAGTTAAAAGCAAGACGAACTCTTGGAAAGCCTGGTTGTGATTCGAACGGTAAACATAAGAAAAGCTAATGACTCGACTATTATCATACAACTTAACGCATTAACAACATCCCAAAACGTCATTCAAAATTGAGACCAGCTAAAAATGTGACATGGAAATCGTTACTCAAACAAAGGGAAAGAAGAAAAGGATATCTATAAACCTCAGTCAGAAAATCAATCATTCCACATATACACCATTTCGCCGTGGCCCCTTCGCAAATCAAACACGTGGAAAAAGCTGGCAAATTTAGGGACAGAAAGTAAACTGTAGCATGGAGAAACGTTGGTAGTTCGTGTTATTTCAACTCTGTCGTGAACGAGTCAAAGAAAGAATCAGTGCTTGGTGACAAAGATAAGGGGAAATAGTCATTGTCGAGATTCGGGGCTTCGCTATTCAAGTGGCTCAGGAACAATTCATCATCATACTGCGAAGATCCAGATTCTGATATCCCTGTTGTTGACTGAGGGCCCAAAGGAGGAAGTTGGTCGGGGTCAAAGGCTGATGTGCTTGCATGGCTTGAAAAGACATCATCAAATTCAGTTCCACTTGAATCCTCAGTAAGTGTGGACACATGGTTGGTTGGCCAGATAGTTCGGCATGGGGATCCAACCAGATCCCTTTTGATTTCACGCTTCACAGGTGTGGGAGATCCACAGTCAAGGGATGGAGGCTCAATGATCTCTTCTGGAATATCGGCGAGATATCGTTTTGAGGGTGACAAGCAGAGTGGTGTTTCTTCTGGTTCCTGGGAAGCGGAATAATAACTGCGGGCAGGTGAACCGATATTGCCTGTGCTATAGCTAGGAGAAGCAGGAGGCGTAAATGTGAAAACATCAGGAGGTAAGGAGATTGATTCCATATCGAGGAATAACATATCCTTGGCGGGACTATGATCTCTAGTGCTTGGAGCCTCAAAATTTTCACTCTCTGGTGACGGTGCCGATGAACTTGATGAATGTTCTTGGATTGCTGGGCTAGCTGCTTTTCTCTTCTCTCGTTGCCGTGCTCTTGTTGCTTTCTCGCGTCTCTCTCCTTGTTTGGGTCTCTCTTTCCTTGGCCTACCACGTCGCTCTGCCCGCCTCACAGCACCAACGAATGCACCGCTACACATCCCACGTTGCTTATGCCTAGTTAAAGCATCATGTCTTGCGAAACTGTTTCCACAGTCACAGGGGTATGGTTTCACGCCGGTGTGGATTTTCGCATGTCTTTTCAGGTCATGGCCTCGGACAAAACTCTTGTTGCAATGATTGCACTTGAATTGCCTGTCGCCGAGATGTGTTTGAACATGAGATTTTATGTTTTCTTTCCGCCCAAATCTCTTCATGCATCCATCAAAGGTGCATATCCATTTATTATCTATCGGGTCGGGACCCTCGATATATCCGCATATATCCTCAAGAGTGATCCCAGTTTCCTCCAGGGAGGCGTCGATGCTTGCATCAAGCTTCAGGTCGGCGATCGTCACTACACGAGGTGCTAATGCTGCCTTGATTGGAGAAGTAGCTCCACTTGAGGTGGCTGGCCTTGGCCTTGTTGGCAATGCGGCAGCTGGGGCTGGAGCAATTGGGACCTTCTTTGTTTTCTGATCAGGGAGCTCTGCTGTGCAGTCTTTCGGAAGCTCGGGTTGTGATGAGAATGAAGTCATAGTTGGTGATGGTAGGCCTCCCAAAGTGAAAGGATCCGAATTATCGACAGAGTCGAAGTTCAAGTCCGTAAAAATATCGTCATCCGTCGTTGGTATTTTTGATTCGAGAGATTCAGGTAGCTGAAACTCAGGAGGACCTTCAAACCCTTGAGAACATTGGAGACTGTGATGTCGGTGATGGTAGCCGTTCTCGGAGCCTTGGAATGACTTTGCTCTTTGCATTGACTCTCCATTTCGAGGAAGAAGGGGTGGAGGAACTCTTTTTGTAGGAGAGGATTGAGCAGTTCTGCAGTTTCGTGGAAACACAGTTGACGGCTTCCAACATGGTGTCGTTGCTGGCGTTAATAAGGAAGAGTCGACTGATACATGAAAAGGTTAGTGGTGCATTGCGCAAACAGGGTGCCAAAACAACTTACTGTTCTCAATTTGCTGGAGTGGTGTTATTGGGCGCTGAGCCCCCGGGACAAGGTTGATATTATAATCTCCTATATCCAGCCATCGAGACCAATCATGCATCTCCTGTCCATATGTTGATGCATTCTGCTGGTGTCGCGCCACACCCTGGTCAAGACTGAGGCCTCTTCGATGGTAGCCCCTTCCGCCCGTAGGCGCAGGTGCAATTGGTCTCGGGGCAAGGTGTCTTCTTGAAGCGAAAGAGGCTATATCCTTGGAGCTCTCTGGCTCGGGTGGGAATGAATAGTTTTGCAGCATTGCTATAGCTTTCACCGGGTGTCTGCTAATGAACAAGGTCAAATAATCTAGGAGGTGGTGAAAAGACAGTTACCGGGACAAAATCAAATATCAAGTGAAGGTCATTGCCTCTGAGGGCGTCTCTAGCTTGTATTCAATAATGAAACGGAAAGCGTCGTAGGTCTTCGACTGGATATAATGGTGTTTATAAGGATTAGATGAAAGCGTCTTGCACAGAGCTAGCTAGAGCTGGCGGCTAACAGCTCTTTGGCTGTGCAATAAAAGACAGAGATAAACAAACAGATGAACAGATCAGGACGCGTTCCAGATGGTTTGTATGCTTTGAAAAAGTAATATGTGAATAGTCTATCCAGAGAAATGGACGATGTCATCTTGAAGGGTCCTAGAGCTCTTTTTGATACAAGTTAGAGATGGTCGAGGACGTAAATAAGCGCGTCGGCCAGGCAACGCCCGATATGGCCTAGCGCCATAACCTAATCTCGATATTAGGTAATTACGTCACATGATTGAAATTTAGTCACATGATCCACACTCGCGAAACTAATTTCGGCTTTTAAAGATTTTTGGTGGAAAATAAAGAGGAGCTTCTCTCTCCTCCTTCTCGTCCACCACCAATTTGCATATTGAAAGGTTGAGGAAGACAATTTGTCTAGGTACGTACGAGCTGCTGTTATTCCCTTCTACTTCGTCTTTTCTGCGGTAATGCGAAAAACATTCTAATTATAAAACCGTGGACTAATGAAATCTTTGCGACAACCAGGCCTTTCGTCAAAATGCAAATTTTCGTCAAGACCCTTACGGGTAAGACTATCACCCTTGAGGTGGAGTCTTCTGATACTATCGACAATGTGAAGACCAAGATCCAGGGTAAGCAACACCCTACAGAACGGCGATGAAGTTGGAAAAAGGCGGACAACGTGCTGATGTTTGTGCGAATAGACAAGGAGGGAATTCCCCCAGACCAGCAGCGTCTGATCTTCGCTGGAAAGCAGCTCGAGGACGGCCGTACTCTTTCTGACTACAACATCCAGAAAGAGTCCACTCTCCACCTCGTGCTCCGTCTCCGTGGTGGTGGTAAGAAGCGCAAGAAGAAGACCTACACCACCCCCAAGAAGATCAAGCACAAGCGCAAGAAGACCAAGCTCGCTGTGCTTAAGTACTACAAGGTCGACGGTGACGGCAAGATCGAGCGTCTCCGACGCGAGTGCCCTACCCCTGAGGTAAGATTTGCGCTATCTATCTCCCCAATCTATGTATATCTGTTCTGTGGCTGACTTTAAATTTCTAGTGCGGTGCCGGTATCTTCATGGCTGCCATGCACAACCGTCAATACTGCGGCAAGTGCCATCTCACCTACGTCTTCGATGAGTCCAAGTAAATCCACACTTGGACAATTGACGAGTGAGCCTCGAATGATGCGATTGAACGAGCTTTGAAAGTTACTGTTTTATTTATGAAGGCATGGAAGGATTTACCTCCCAGAGTCGATTATCTCTTCAGTAACTAGGCTAAATTTATGAACATCAATGAAAGGAAATGAACTTGGTCAAAAAGTTAAATAAACATTCATTTCATGGAATGTCTAAACGAGTGACGCTTCTGTATACACACGAATATCAAACATAAATAAACTGTACATCGTAAAAACAAATCATGATTGATCATCAGAGGGGTATGAACGGAGCCAAAAGGCAAACATCAAACCGTCAGGCCGCACAGCACAGCACAGCATGTAGCCAAGTACGACATACAACCCAACAGCCGGACCTCTAGACGCCGAGTCTCCTCACAAATAGTTTCAAATGACGAATAGAGAACAGAGTCGAGAATTAAGGGAGGCAGTGAAAACAAACGAACAAGGTTTGTCTGCTGTTGGTAGTTGGGAGCTCAGGGGATGCCCTTCTTCATGTTCTCGTATTGACTCTCGGGGTATGAGATGGAGTTCTGGGACTTCTCCAATCCCTTCTGGCCATTGGCAGTCACACCCTCAACGAAGGTAGCAATCAAGCTTCCGCCAGCCTTGGTAGCAGTCTTACCACCTCGGTCACCGCTGGCTTCCCACCACATTCCACCTCCAAGGCCGTTGTCGATAACCCACTTGGTCTTATCTTCGACCATGGGAATAGTATCATAGGAAATCATGGTACGGCTGGCTTGGTCATAGCTGTAAGAGGCACCGCTCTCATCGTCTTTCTTCTCCTGGGCTCCGTCCTTGGGGAGGACCTTGTAGTCCCAGATACCATTCTCCCAGCTTCCTGGGCCAACTCCCTGGAAGGGCTTGCCAGGACCATCGGTGTTGGTGAAAGCACGTCCGTACAGGGGCATTCCAAGAACCATCTGGCTCTTGGGCACGCTGCCGTTCTTGTTGTAGTAGTCGACAGCAGCACTGGTTGAAAATGGAGTGCTGGCGGGGTTCGACCCAGATGGTCTCAAGTTAGCCTGGTGTCCGGAGCTCTTGTCCCAAGAACCAGCGAAGTCGTAGGCCATAAGGTTGAAGAAGTCGAGATAAGCGCTCATTTCCTTAAGCTTAAGCTTCTCGTAGTTAACGGGGCCTAGAAAGTAAAATCAGTGTCACATCGGTGTATCTGTGTGTAGATATACGTACCGCATGGAACAGCAGCAGTGAGAAGGAACTTGCGGCCATTCTGTTTGGCATTGAGAGTCTATAAAGTATTTGTTAACTGTAAAGTCACTTAGCTACAATAGTATACTTGAGAGTAACTTACCTCTCTGCAAGCCTTCAGGAGCAAGACAAGGTTATTGGCCTCAGTCTCATCTATTGAAAGTTAACAACGCTCATTGAAATGTTAAGTAAGGTTCAAGAAGCTTACCCTTGGGATACTCCCAGTCAACATCAAGACCTATCAAGTCAAGTCAGCCATCGTACAACTAAAACGTTTCCTAGGACAACAAACCATCAAATCCCAAATCAAGGAGAATTTTGGTAGCTGATTCGGCAAACTTCTTCCTGTTTGCGTCGGTGCTAGCGGCCTGGGGGAAGTTTACAGAGTAAGTCCATCCACCGATGGAAAGGAGAACCTTGAGGTTACGGTTCTGCTTCTTCAAGAGAAACAGTTGCTTAGCGCATCCGTAAACATTGTTTCCTGGTTCGCTCCAAGAGTCACCGGGGTAATGCTTCTCGATATCAGCATAGGTATCGGAAAGGTAGCTATTGCAGTGTCAATATCGTATATATTATGTATGGGATTGAATGGAAGTACTTATGGGAAGTACTAGCACATACACTTCTCCAGTTTCTGGGCGGACGTTGGCGAACGCATAGAGGACATGCGTCAACTTGTCGATTGGGAGATCGGCTGGGTTGTATGCTCGTCCATAGATACCCTAATGATCCACCACAATGGTTAGCAAACAAGCCTGCAATATTTTATATTCCAACATAAGGGTAAGTGTTGGCGCATACCCAGTTGACGAAGTAGACCACAGAGCGGTATCCCACGATGTTTCCCATGATGGCGGCGATGTGATGATGATATAGTAGTAAAAGATACTTTCAAGGTTCAAGGGCAGAGTAAAATGCGAATGACTGAAATTGCGATTTGGGCTTAAGAAGAAACCAGATGGTCTGGAGTTATATATAAGGAGAAGGGTAGGGAGAAAAAAAGGAAGAACAAATCCCAACCAGTTCGAAGTATGTCGCGGGGTATAAATAGGCAGACAGGCAGATAGATAGATAGCAGCTTCAGCGGCACACCCGTTTATCAAGTTTGTTTTTCCCCATTTACGTTTCCTTACTTTTTTTCCTTCTGGTTCCGGCCCAGGTACCATGATACTGATCATCATACCAGTGACGAACACCCATGGTAGGTCACGGCGACTGTAAGTCCTTCTGCATATTGATCACAACCAGCTTCAAGGCTAGGCTTGGGGGGAAGGCGAAGGCCTAGGTGTAGGCAGGCATGTTACTTGCACCCGCACGCCCGTATCTCCGCTGCTTAACCAACGGGTGACGAGGCTTGCGCATTCTTTCACGCGAGGTAGCTATTTTGCTTTTTCTTCTCTCTCGTCTTTGCTCTGCTCTGACTCTGCGGCTTTCAATTATTTGTATTGCATTGCTTTTCTTTTCCCGCACACGGCATTGCCCTTTCTTTTGCGGCAAAGCATGTATGTATGTAGGTATGAACGCACGCACGCACGTATACACAGCCTAGGTTGCACAATGACCGGACACCATTTCCTTCTTCCCCCAGCCACGTCGGCCTGGCATGTCGTGCAAGTGATCACGCCCCATGATATCATAGATAAGTAATATATCCATCTCTCAAGCCCGAATCGCTTCATAGAAGACGACAAGAGGCCTGCATTGCCTCGTAAGGCTGGGGAGGGAAAAGAAAAGAGACGAGTCTCGTGGAGACAAGTCGGTTTGGTAGGTGAGAAAGCTGGTATAATGGTGATGAAATCCAAGGAAGAGGAACAGGTGGCTTATGCACTAGTTCCGATAATCAGCGAATCTGCTGCATTTGTAGTCATCGTTAAGCAGGGGCGAGAAGGACTGCCCTGGAAGATAGTCCGCGGGGGATCTGCCCAGCCTAGAGCCTACCTACGCTGGCTAACCACAGCTCAGGACACGGACAGAGCTCAAGTTCAATCCCGACCCGTTAACTCTAGTTTGCCTCTGTACACAGTACAGAAGAGAGAAGGAAATCCGCCTCCTTCCCCGCCTCGCTTGGAGTATTGTTGGATGCTTGGATTGGACGCCTCCCAGGGTCGCATCTCACAGAGCCACGAGGTTCTATAATTAATATGGACAAAACCCCCATTCTGCGAGAATTCCATCTTGCTCTCTTCGGGCTGACTCTTTGGCGGGGGTGGAGAGGAGGGTGGGAAGGTATTCGCGGGTGCATTCGTCTCTCTCTGCCACTCCCACTGTCACCGTCACCGTCACTGTTGCTGTTAACAACTATTCACTGGCTGGACTGCCATCATCATCCGCCCTCCCCATGCACGCAAGCTCTCCGGCAGTCTACCATGAGACCGACCGCCGTAGCTGACGCTGACAGTGACACTGACGCTAACAGCCACCCCGTCAACCAGCCTGACATGTACTCACTCACTTCCCACCAGGCGGATAGTCGAGCCAGGGACCACGCGGGCGTTGGACAGAAGGAGAGCGGGAGAGTCACACAGAGCCTGCGCTCGTCCCTCCTACCCTCGGGTGGACGAGAAAGAGAGAAATAAGCCTGGGGGAGTCTGCATCTGATAGATCGTAAAAAAAGCAAAAAGACGGCGCTTCGCATGTAGCCAACCAGCAGCTTCGTGGCCGTGAGATGAGACGTCGATGAGGAATTGAAGATCGAAGATCATCTTTGGAGGTTTTGAAAGCGGAAGTTCGTCATTGGCAGAAAGAGGCTGGATTACATAATCAGCCTCCATTGAACGTTACATTGTGGAGATCACACGAGCTCGCTGAGCTGGCTGGACGAAAGACGGCAATTATGATCGATAGATGGATGGTTAGAAGGGAAGACGAGAAGAGGCATGGAGAAGCAAGTTGATTCATTAGAGTGCTTCTATATGTACATCCTTCATGGGTGAAGGTGAAGATAAGACTTCGGAACATGCATGGATCCGTCTAGTTTCATGAAACTAGTTCGTATGTCAGAGCAGAGAGAGAAAAAAAAAAGAGAAAAGAAATAATGGTAATTAGAAAGATCCTATACATGGCAGACATCTCATCTTTTGTCTCGTCTCATCTCGTTTAGACCTGGTCCTTGTCCATTCTATTCATCTCTTCTTCCTTCGCGTTGAGACTACGGAAGGTGAAGAAGAAGATGATACCGGTGGCGAAGGAGACGGCAGCCAAGGCCACGAACATCCACCGGATAGCAGGGTCGTAGGCAAGGGGAACAAGAGCTTCGCCAATAGCAGATCCAAAGGCGTTGGTGAGCAGGTACATGGACTGGACGAAGGACTTCATGGAGACGGGGGCCTTGGTGTAAGCGTACTCGAGACCGGAGACGGAGGCGAAAATCTCGGAGATACCAATGAGCATGTAAGCAGGGGTCTGGATGGCGATGTGGACGTGGTTGCCCATGGCGACACCGTTGACCTTAGCCTCCGGACACTTGAGAGGCTGATCGAAGCATGGTCCGGCGTTGTAGATGAGAGTCTGAACGATGGCAGCGTAGACCATGGCGAGGGAGGCGACGATAAAGCCGACGGAGATACGGGAGATGGGTGGGAAAGGGATGTGAAGTTTCTGCATGATCGGGTAGACGACGCGGTCGAGGATGGGGATGAAGATGAGAATGGCGATGGGGTCGAAGTTCTGCATGAGATCATTGGGGATGCCATGGCCTTCCATCTGAGCGGCTTGGGAGACGAAGTTGGTGGAGAACTGGTTATATACGATCCAGTAGATGGGGTAGAAGCAGAAGACCTTGCAAGCAATGAGGGCACGCTTGAGCTCGTCGACGAACTGGTCGTCCCAGGCGACGGTGCGGCGGTTGCCGTGCTCGGCCTGGTAAGAAGGCTTAGGGGCGTCCATGTTGCGGCTGGTGACCATGATCCAGAGAGCACTGAAGGCATTGGTGATGATGGAGCCGGTTGGAGGACGGACGACATAGGCCTTGCGTCCCAGGATGAGGGTGACTGTTCCGACGACGAAGACACAGAGGCAGAGCAAGTAGGCGGACCAGAAGCCGACATATAGCTCCATGTACGGGGTGGCCAGCAGTGAGAGAGAGCCGATGTTGATACAGGCGTAGAAAATCATATAGATTCGCTGGATAGTGATGGCTGGGTCTATGATGACGCGCTCGCCAGTGGGCAAGGTGGAGATGGCGGGCACACGACGCTTGTACTGATCAGCAATCAGGGGAGCGACGTTGGACTTGATACCACCAGTACCAATACCGATGACGATGATAGAGGCAACGAATCCGCCGAGACCAGCTCCGTGGGAGAGAGAGCTAGGGACAGAGGTAGCCACGAGGATGACGAGACCGGCCATGTAGACGAAGCAGAAGTACAGGATGGCCTTGTACTTTCCGAGGTACTGGTCAGCGACAATGGCACCGAAGATTGGGGTAACTGGACACTGTTAGATTTTAATGCTTTCTTTATTTTCTTCTAAGGAATAAGACTTACCATAACACCAGAATTGGAAGAAGGTGGTCAATCCAGTAGCACCCTGATGGCCGAGGCCTACTCACGTTAGCAATTCATCTTATCCAAGTATAGGTAATGTATAGAAGCAGAGAATAAACCTACCGAGAGCACCAACACCCTCACTTCCATCGAATGGACGCTGGACGTAGTTCTGGAACAAGCCGTTCATGCCGTAGTATGTGAAACGCTCACACAGCTCGACGACGGCGACCAGCCAGGCGGACAGCGGCAAACTCTCGCCGACATGTCTGAGGTTGAACTTTTCGCTCTCTGTGGGCTCTTCGCCGTCGGGGGTCTCGAAGCCCTCGCCCTTCTCGGCAACAATATCAGAGCCGGCCTTGATGTCAGTGTCCCGGACGGCCTGCTTCTCTTCGTGCTGCTCCATTGCCCTGGAAGCTATTAGTATAAACGCCCATGGATAGATAGGTAGGTAGATAGCTATGCAGTAGAGCCGGGGAACTCACTGAACAGGCGCAGTTTCCTTGTCAGCCATGATGGGGGTGGGAGATACTCGATGCTCGATGCTCGATGCTCGCCTGTCTTCCTATTCCTATAGTCAGATATCCCCGAGCAGCGTCAAGCAAGCGATGGGACGAGAAGGAGAGAGGAAAGCAAGAAGGAGGAAGCAGGAGGGAGAAAGGGAAGAAAGGAAAGAGGAGAATGAGAAACGGACAGGCTGATATATAATATATCTGCTGTCGCCCGCTCCCTCCGCCTCTGTCATCCCCATCCTGTGGTCGTCCTAGCATCTGCTATCTACGGCGTCTTCGTCCGCCTTCAGAAAATTCCCGGGGATCCACCATGTCAAAAAAAAAAAAAAAAAAAAAAAATGAAGGACCCCTGTCAAGAGAGATTTTCTATCATGTAAGATAAAAAAGCAAGGGGACCCATATACAGGAACAAGCATATTAATATTACATACGTATGGCCAGGGGTGTTCGGGTTCGGGTAGGGGAAAGGCGAGGACGAGGGTACCACAGATAACAGCTGGCTGTGAACCACCAACCGGAGAGACAGACAGACAGGACGGACACCCGAGCGCTGACCCAAGAACGAGACAAGAGGCAAGGGAAGACAGCCAAAGAGAAGCCAGGGAGAGTTAGAAGCAACCAAAGAGTTAGAGAAACAGACTCCGATGCAACATGGCGAAGGGTCGCATCCGCGCAAAGGAGAAAAGGATCGGCGATTGGAGGCGCATTACACATGTACATACATACATAACATAAACATATCTGGCAAGTCAAACGTATGTATGCATGCATGTATGTATGTACTGCGTGGTGATGTACCTTCTGCCCGCATGGCTGGGGTGCGTCTTCCCTTCTTTCTTGTTTCTTGCTTCTCTTCGTCTTCTGTTCTCCTAGGAAGTTTCGTATTTTTTTCCCTTCCTCGCTCGGTGGAGTCAGGCCGTGGGTAACTTCAGGATAAGTCAAGTTGGTACGGAGTAATCTAAAGCAAGTAAGTAACGATGTAACAAGTAACGAAAGCTTGCCGAGGTTGACTTTTGTTCCCTGTCTGTTTCTTCACTTTCAGGCCTGGAAGACGGTCGAGACGAGATGGCAAGGCGTATCGACGCACGGAGTACAGGAGTAGACAGTCATGTTCATGTTGGCGTGCTCTCGCCCATATTCACCGTCCAGGGAAGACCTTGGAACCTTGCCGGCGTATCCGCGAGAGACAGCACAGCGACAACGAGACGACGAACCAGAGACGTCGCACTAAAGTAGAGGAAGGGATTTTATCTCCCGCTGGCTGACTGGCTGACTGGCTGGCCAGCGAGTTTGACTCGTAACTTACCCCCAGGTTGCTTAAGTTACGGCGTAATCCTGCTGTATACAAGATGCGGCCTCCTCGGCGGGTGACGGACACCGTTCCCCATGGGGCAGGCCAGTAAGAAAAAGATAATAATAAGCAGCCCAGCAGAAAGGTGGGAGGAGCAGCGATGGGAAAGCAGGCGATCACTTGCTCTCTTCTGCTCTGGTCGCTCGACACTCTTGATGCTCCCCGTCTTCTACTTGTTGGTTGATGCGTCCGCGACGTTGAGGCTTCAAGTTCTCCAGCCCGTCGCCAAGGCGGTTGCGCTGCTTAGGCGAGTGCTTAGATCGCTACAAGCACTGCGGCAGAGTCTTGGGTGAAAAGGCTTGTGTAGACCAGCAAGACGACGAGGCGAAGAGGTGCAAAACCAGCAGCAGAAAGAGGGCTGCAGTTACATAACTACCGTACGGAGTATACAAAAGCAAAAGAAAAGAAGAGAAAAAGAAAAGACGGCTGACCGGAGGATTTTGGACAGACAGACAGACATACGAGGATGGGGATGGCTCTTTGGGGCTTTCTCTCTCGCTCACGCAGCGGTTTTTTTCTGTCTCTGTCTCTCTCTCTCGGACTAAACTCGCCCTCCTTGATGAGATTATCCCAGTTACTGTCCAGGGTGTCCTTCATTCGATGCGGAGTTCATGTCCGTTTACGCTGTAATTACCGCCCTTAGTTACGGTTAGCTTACCTTGCTAAGATTAATGCTGTAGTTATGGTTATTATTATTATACGGAGGGATGAAGGGGAGAACATGGAACAAGCTAGCACTGCTTCCACGGAGCCTTATTGGGCTGCTTGGCCGCCATCTCGCTTTCCTTCCCCAGGCCATCCCTCCGTTTAAGTTACGAACGACGGGCCTGCATGCTCTTTTCGGTGGCTCTTTTCCGCTAGCGACGCTAGTCACTGGCATTGAATAATTATTATATGAAGGATGATGGCTTTGGTGACATCGCCTGGGTGTCTTGCGATCAGTGCGCAGGTGAATGAAGTTTTCCTCGCTTCTTCGCGTCTTCTTCGCGGCTTCTTTGCATCATCCATATGTTGCTATGACTCAAGTGGCGGGTGTCAAGTGAAGCTGTTTGGTCTCCAAGCTATAGAAATATAGAAGACATCCATGTATATACTACGAATCTCCATCTCCATTACGGAGTATTTATATATTCGTATATACTCCAGTGTGGGTAGCTGAAGTCATCATGGTGGCTGGTTCAACCACAAGTACTGTGAACGACCTGGAGTCTCTTCGCTGCTATTTGATCCCACTTTCAGATACTTCCTGTTAGATGTCTGCTTGCGGAGACGTGGAGAGCTGCTGAAGTACTGACTTAACGGAACAAGGGTATAACAATTAGTTAGCTATGGAGAAGAAGGAGAAGAAGGAATGGTGATCAAATGAAACTATCCAATCACCCAGCTCTCTCCCCCATATCCATATCCATCTCAATCTCCATCTTCAATCTTTCTCCAGCCTCTAATCTCGCTGCAGTTTACCGTAGTCCGTAACAAAATACACATGTCCGTACGGATGGACAGTAGCCAACTCATCATGGACCAACAACATTTTAGTTTCGACGAAGACCTTCCCGCTGCCTGACTTGTTCCCTCCCCTCCCCCTAGTTCAGGCTCACTCAGCCAGTGACATGTCAGTCCATCGACGGAAAAGTGTGGGAGTTTCTCCAATTTGTTTTTTTCTAGCTTCCTTTCTAGAACACGGTAACGAACGAACGTACGAACTGGCTAGTCCCACTCCTTTTACCCGGTCTCAACCGCAGCACCCCTGGACTGAGATATATCCTTTACGGAGTCCCTTAGGCTAATGGGATCAGACCATGGGGGCCGCGCTGATGGGGACGAAAATGGGTTTCCCAGGACAGCAGGTGGCTAACTGCTTACTTACCTAGCTGCTCGGGCATGCGGAGAGGGAGAAGCTTCACCTCCCGGCTTTTTTCCATTCGCAGCTAGTTAGTTTTAAGGATGCATGGAGCTTCTTCGGGTGAGTAATAACAACGATAATAACAATAATAACAGCAGTGATAATAATCACGTCAACGCAAGTTCGCAGATATCAGAGGGTTAGCTGTATGATGTTGATAGAGGAAGTTGTTTCGCATGACGTTTTCTCTCGATGGACGATGGACATGTGTCCTGCCCTTTTCGGTCAACCGGGCCATCATCTATCCCCTGGCATATTCATTCTACTCAACCTTCCAACTTTGCTACACCATAACCCCATGAGCACTTATTTACGTACATAATTCGCGGTCCGTGACCAGCCCAATCATGTATGTCATGTCATGTATGTAAGAAACAACTTCTGATGGCACCATGTTCGTTTTGGTTTATCTCTCTGCCAAGCAAGGCGATTTCAAATCGTGTCTGGGAAACAACCAACGGTCGGCTCTTCCTTTCTTTCCTTTTTCCCTTTTGCTCGAGCCCGTTGATTATATCGATGGGCACCGATCGATCCTCATTTGATCCTGGTGGCTTCCACGCGTCAGATGCAAAGCATCAAATTTGGTAGATCCTGGCTCTTCTTTGGACTGACAGCCTGCTTTCACTCATCCCGTGGCCTCATGGAGGGAACACAGGTGAGTAATATCGCGCAACAAGCTAGCCAGTCTTGAGGTGGTATGAATAATAGTGAAGGGGAACAGAGAATGCAAGCATCACTAGAGATACTAGAGCAGTGCCATCATATCTCTAGAAAGGGACTAGCTACATGGTAAGACCATCTAGCTAGCTGCGAAGGATGATATTTGGTGCGGTGTATGTGTGTGTGTGTGTGCGCGCGTTTCGAAAGAGACCATTCCAACGGCGGATAAACCAAGAGAATATAAACATCTATCGCCCCTTGTCCAAAACACGAACAAGACCTTCCTTCGCCTTCTCTGCAAGCCGTTATTCATCCATGGGACCAAACATAGCTGAAATTATATGATCCATCATCGCTCATGTAGTTCGCCATGCAGTGTTCGCTCGATTCGCAAACCATAAAGAGTGCCAAATATAGCATCGCCAGCCTCCTGCCACCGTTATGGCTGCCTGAGGCTTCCACTGGGTCTCAGATCAGGTCGAGGCGGCAGCGGCAGCAGAGGTATCAGCCTCAGCTTGCACGGCCATTTCGCCTCCTCCACTAGAATGCTTTATTTGCCCTCCGATGTGCATGAGAGTCACATAGGCTTGGGCCTGCATTGCATAACTCGGATTGCGGCTCATGGCTGAATCCATTTTGCCTCACACTAAGATTGACGGGGATTGTAGCTGCATATATCTTTATCCTTTGATATGGTATTCAATGGCCACGGGTGTAGCCAACGCATCCTCCATCCATCAACCCAGAGTAACTTGGTCATGCACCTATGGTTCACGTCACATTGCGTCGGTGGATGTATGGGAAAAGGGGGCGGGAGATGGTCGGTGGATATCAAATTGTCCTTGATTAGATAGTTATAGGGCTGTATCCTGAGTGGGACCGGACTTTCTTCGAGCCATCGACGATCATGGATAATGTTGTACGGAGTATGTGCGCGGATGATTATCAGACATCGGAAACGCACCGTGGCAACTATAGAGCCAATGTCCAGTGGAGTTTTGAAATGGAGTGTTGTCTGAGACTCCACGAAGGAGAATGCGGATCAAGCATCTACCCGCCGGCACTGCTTGTTGTTCAAGGGCGTTCAA